CAACACATTTGGTACAAAGGTCAACTGAACCAAAAGACAAATATTACAGACCCAACTGACCCAAAATCACAGCAAGTTAGTCAAAGTCAACAGCAGATTTGCAAACTCAGCACTTGGCCAGGCAACAGCATTTGAGTCAACTAAGTCAACAACAATTAGCACAGTTGGCAACAACAAACATCTAACAACTTAAACAACAGCAACTTGCCCAAAATCAGCAATTGCAGCTGAACCAGCAGCAAGGTCAAATGAACCAAAGCATTGCTCTTTCAAATCAGCAGCATCTAATTTCTAACCAAGTATTGAATCATCAGCAACACAGAACCAGCAAAACAGTCCACAACAGCCATCACAAATGAGTCAGGGACAAAACTTCATTCAACATAAGTTAATCAGCATATTACATCTACACATGCTCAACAGCTGCTACACAAACAGCAGTTTGTAATCAGCAAGTACATCTGGCCACAAGTATCTACAGCACAACAACAGTTGGTGCAACTCATGCAAATGTTACAGTTCAACAGTCACAACAGTTGTTAACCTCACTTTCAAAACAAATCAAATTGTTAATCAAGACATTCAACAACAGTCTAACATCACCCAACAGCAAAGTGTTAACCAGCAATTGAATGTCCATAACATTAAATCAGCAGTTGAGCACTCAGAAGTTAGGCCAGCATTGAATCAACAACATTGACTCAACAGCAACTCAACAAAGCCAGTTGGACCAGCTGAATCAAGAACTGAATCAGCAGATAAATCACAAAGTCAAATTAACCAGCAACAGTTGAATCAACTCAAACAGCAGAGGTAGTCCTACTGCACAGCAAATTGTTTCAAAGTCCTATCAATCAGCACAGTTATTGAGTCAACAACAGAATCAACAATTGTGCCAAGCAACAGATTCTGCAAAACCAGTTGAATCAACAGCAGTTGGGCCAGCAAAACCCAATTGGAATCAGCAACTGTATACATCAACAACAGATATCACAACCTAACCACCTAAATCAACAAGGTCATCTTGGCTCACACCACAAATTGGGCAACAAAATCAATTAAATCAACAAAATCAGCTGACCAGCAGCTGTTAGAGGATATACAAGCATTGAACCAGCAATTACAACAACAGTCAGTAAACCAACAGAGTATTCAACAGCAACAACAGTTGCAACGGCAAAGCTTGCAACAGCTGCAAGGCTTAAAGCAGCAACAAGTTTTGCAACAACAACAAACTTGCAACATGGGATTGGTCAAGGTTTGCACAAGCAGGTGATAACCCAGCAAACACTACATCAACAACAACAGTCTCTAAATCAGCAGGACTATTCAGCAAGGATTGAATCAGCAAAATTTACAGGGGATGAATCAACCTGTGTTGCAGCAAACAAGCACTGAGTCAACAGAACTTGCAACAGCAAACAACTCAACCAGGTATGCATTATAATCTGACTATAATTATGCACAAGGTACTAATAAAATGTTTTCCTGTAAGGGCGGTTGGTAATATAGTATGCAACTAGGCCACCTTTGGTACTGTGCTATCCACAAGCCATCTAGAGTTAACTGATTATTGAATCAACCAACTCCAGCAATTTGGTGAAACTATGTATGTTATTCTGCACTGATTTGGTACATAAAGCAACATTGATAACCTTTATTTATTAATCTATTATATCTCTCTATTTTCAAAGACATCTGCTTATTACCTGCTGCTAATCGGAGAAATCAGTATTCTTGACCACAATGCCCCATTGAGAAGTAGCTTTTCTTTTGTTTCTGTTTGAACCACTAAACTTTATATTTCCAAATATTTGAAAATGAGTGAGCAATAACTAATGTTAGGTATTGGTCATCAAGTAGCTATCCTCTGTGAGTATTCCAATAATCAGGAACTGTTGGACATTCATGAATGAATGAATCTTAAAAATTTTAGAGGCATCCCGGCCACCATAAGGAGCCAGTGCATAGGCCGCTTAAGCGGGCCCTTATGCACCTCTACAATACTTAAATCACAAGCCTCGCCCTTTTAGCGAAGTTGAGAATCGCCTTGAGTCCAAGCTCCTTTACGTCCTGAGGGTCCAAAGTAATGGACCCCAGTATAGTCTGCCTATAGTAGCTCAGAGCTTCACAGCGACACAAACATGCGCCGAGGTCTCTTCCTCTACTCCGCAGCGTTCGCACAAGGGATCCTCAGCCACCCCCATCACGTGCAGGTGCCGCCTTAACGTGTTATGGCCAGACAACAGTCCCACCAGCAACCTTAGGTTGGCTCTACCCAGAGATAGGCAGAAGCGTCCATCCTTAGCACTGGGCCCTTCAATGAGCTCTCGTGCCTGGCGGAGATGTCTAGAGATACTTCTCCATTTCTGAGGAGTGTTGTCTTGCAACCCACGTCTCCATTTTCCTCCTAGCTTTATGCGCGGTTACTCCTAGAGCTGGCTCAGGACCAACGAGCTTGCTTTCTGATCCTGTTTTCGCCAGAGTGTCCGCCGTCTCATTGCCCCTTATCCCAGCGTGCCCCGGTACCCATATGAACGATACCGGATGCCCCGCTGCGAGGAAATCCAGAGCCTCCCTGCATTGCAATACAAGACTCGAAGTAATCTTACAGGCACTTAGTGCTTTCATTGCAGCCTGGCTGTCGGATAAGATTGTTATTCTTCTCCTAGGCCCACCCTCCTCCAGAATGTGAGATACACAAGCCAGAATCGCAAAGATTTCCGCCTGGAAAATGGTGGTGTATTCACCGAGAGGCAGAGATAGCCTAGTTCTAGGCCCAGAGACCCCAGCACCTGAGCCCTCTTCGGTGACCGAGCCGTCCGTGTACCAGTCCTGCCCGCTCACTTCGGAGAGTCCTCGGCTACCGGCATCCCACTCCTCCCTCGTTGGATACTCCACAATAAACTTGCCGTTGAAGCGATATTTAGGGGTAATACGATCACCCCCTGCTTAGAAGGACGGGGTCCTCCCTTTCTAATTCGACTAAGATGGCAGTATGCCCCTTGACCGGATTCAAGAAAGCCCAGCTGCCCTGACTCCACAGTCGATGAGCGACTACTCTCGCTTCACCGCGGATCACCAGATCCAACGGTGGGAGATCCAACAGAGCTTCCATTGCACTCAATGGCGTTGTTCGCACTGCGCTTGTAATGCTAATACAGGCCAAACGCTGAATTTTATTGAGTTTGGTCTTAGTTGACTCAGTTCTAATGCAAGGCCACCAGACCAGGGAGCCGTACAAGAGAGATGGACGTACCAGTATACCACTTTGGGTTTAAGCAACCACCTTACACCGACAACACGTCTACAAGCCCACATCGAATTGCGAGCCTTGCTAACCTTGTGTTTCACATGCTCTCTCCAGTTCAGTTTGCAGTCCAGGATAATTCCCAGATATTTCACTGACTGGGACAAAACTAATCTAGTCCCAAAGAAGGTCGGCATGACCAGTCCGTCAAGCCTTCTTCTCCTAGTGAATAGGATCAGCTCGGTCTTTTCAGCATTAGTAGAAAGATCGACTTCCCTACACCACGATTCCACGGAGCGCAGAGCGCCCTGCATAATTTCCGAGACTGTTCTACAGAAACGCCCCCTAACTACTATGCTTACGTCATCAGCATAGGCTTGCGCATAGACACCCATACTGCTGAGCCTAACGAGGAGTTCGTTCACCACGATACGAGTTAACTGATTATTGAATCAACCAACTCCAGCAATTTGGTGAAACTATGTATGTTATTCTTGCACTGATTTGGTACATAAAGCAACATTGATAACCTTTATTTATTAATCTATTTATCTCTCTATTTTCAAAGAACATCTGCTTATTACCTGCTGCTAATCGGAGAAATCAGTATTCTTGACCACAATGCCCCATTGAGAAGTAGCTTTTCTTTTGTTTCTGTTTGACCACTAAACTTTATATTTCCAAATATTTGAAAATGAGTGAGCAATAACTAATGTTAGGTATTGGTCATCAAGTAGCTATCCTCTGTGAGTATTCCAATAATCAGGAAACTGTTGGACAACTGCCTTTAATTCATTTGGAATGAAAACACATCCAACAAACTTTAACACTTTATTCCCCTCTGAAACTGGAATGGACTAGTCCACCAGCCACATCTTTCTATTGAATTCGTTTGGGTTTGTTAGTTTGTCACCAGGCTACTAGATATTTCACAATATTGGTAAAATGATTATGAAACGTGATGATTGTTTTATTTATATATATATAGGAGGGGAGTAGTATTAGAAGTGAAAAAAAAAATTATATACATACCACGCATATATCCTGAGGTGCATAGCGCCGAGGGATATAAATGTGCTCGACCTATAATGTACTATTTTTATTGTGGAGAGATATGTATTCCATTTTCTATTGGGATATGACAATGATCAAATGTCTGCACGGTTTCGCATAGTGGCGCAATTCGGATAATTCGTTTAGGTGTTACTTGTGTTTAGTCACAATTGATAGAAATGCCAGGAATTATCAATATACTGGTTTACATGGTTTCTTAATAGAAACTTATTTTGCCGCATTATTTCAATTTTCGTCTGGGACAAATTTGTAGAAATGTTAAAAAACTGATGGTATGAAACTTGAGAGCAGTGTTACCTTAAAGATTGAAGAGAGGGCACACACTCTCTCCCTGGCACCTCCCTGCGGGCGCATGTGGGAGTTACCCGAGTTGTCGCACTGTTAACGCGCTTTCAATCTGCACTCTTGAGATACGATAAATTGGATCTAGGCTACTTAGATATCACTTATCACAAAAGTTTAGTTAATGTTGCATTCCAGTAAAAATAATCAACTAACTTTACATAAACTAACATTCACATCTTCTCTCGGCACTGTGCTGTTTCTATGTTAAGTACATACTTTAGCTTTTGAGCACAAGGTTAATAAGCCATGATTTGTAAAACGGGTGCAGAGCGAAGTTACCAGTAGCATTTTCGAAACTCCCAGAAACATTTGAAACTTCTGTTTTAAGTACCACGTTACAATGAATTACAAAATACTTAAAGTATCTATGTGTCCATTTTGTGTTTCTGTTATCTTCAAATGATATAACCACAATTTAAATAAAAAATAACTATCACAGGTGCCCGTTTTCGCGTCACGGACTAACGAATTTTTCAACATTGACCTGTCCTTATTGGAATACTCTTTATTATGTTATGTTTTTATGAGTAGGTGGTGCGCTCTCAGTTCCAACAGCAGTCTCCACAGCAACAACAGCAGGCTGGTGTTATTGGTCAACAGATTCTGATAAATCAGACATCTCCACAAAACCATCCCCAACGAGCTCAGATTGGCCAACAACTGTGGGGACAACAACCTGGACAACAAATTATAAGGCATCCTGTTAGTGTTGTACAACAGGTAATTTTTTATTTATCAAGAACTCACGGTCACGATAGCGTGGTGTAAACGTAAAACGATTTTACCATTTTTTTAAGTCATTTTCAGAATTTTGATTGAGATATATTTCTTTTACTTCTCACCCCATTGGCGAGGAATTATTGTAATCCCGAAAAATAGCAAAAATAAGATATGTTTTATGGATATATCTCAATTTTTAATTCTACGCACATTTCACTCACTAGAGATGTCCACGTACATTTACCCTTAAAACTTCGCTTAGCGTAGGGTGTTGATACGTGCGACGTGGTCCCCGGGATGGACAAGCGTCGTCGTCGGTGATCGTACGTCACAGTCGGCAATCGCTTCCGCAGTGCTGTGGGTTGAGATGTGTACACTGTGCATGGTAAAGGCCAATATCGTCATTCACACGGGATTGGTCATCGCACCGATCAAGTGCGCCTGCAGCAATTTTTGCAAAAACTGTTTTTCTTTGTTATATCTATGTTTACATTTATTTTTAAGGGTGCTCCCAGGGTACAGTGGACGACAAACCAAGGCGGTGCGGTGCCTCAGAGGCAGTTTATCCAACTGGATGCGAGAACACACAACCAATTACAAAAGATGCCTCCAGAGGAGCAGGCTCTTTTTGTAGCTAAACTACAGAGGCAGAGACAACAGCTTATTAAACAAGTGCAGCAGAGAGGTGGAAGTGGTGGACATATACTTATCAGAGGTTAGTATTTAGTTGCCTCTTGTATCAATGATACTATACAAGTGGCAAATATTCCTGGAGTGAGCTCTTTGGAGTATTCCAAGATTATCATCTCCTATAGGAGAAAAACTGCTTTGTTTTGTTGGTAAAATTTTCAGAAGTACCATTTTTTATTAGCGAAATTCGTAGGTAAAGTTTTTAAACCTACAATTTTCAAAAAGACTACTGTCAGCTAGATCTGCAAAGTCTGCCGTAAATATTCTTTCCTTGCTTAGTATCTTTGCAACAAAGCTGTTTTTTCAGAAATATTTAATGGACAAAATAATTTAAGAATGCACCAACAATTTTGTTATAGAAAACACCCTGTATACCAACGTGCAAATCCGACGTTTGTTGAAACCGCATAATTGTTAAACACTAAATACTGTAGTCTCCAACGATTTTCGTAAGTTGTCAAAAGAATATCGATCATTAATAAATACAAGAAAAAACCATAGGTTTTTTATGTGTATATGTCTCTCAAAAAACGAACGAAGAAATGTACAGCTTTTTATCCACTGGGATCCTTCCAGGTATCTAAAAAAACTCAACGTTCTTTATATGTGTATATGTGTCTCAAAAAACGAACGAAGTAATGTACAGCTTTTTATCTACTGGAGACCTTCCAGATATCTAAAAAAGTTCAACGTTCTGTTTATTACTATTTTACTAAATGGAATCGTTCGGTATGAGATGTGGCAAAATTCAAACGCGTGGGAAGTACAATTCACAAAATTTATAATTTCAGGCAATGTTCCTCCCGGGCTAACAGCCCAACAGCAGGTGCAGTGGTTACAACAGCAGGCCAAGCAACAGGGCATCGTTCTACCCCCAAACATTCAGCAACAGCAACAAACTGTCGTTCCGGGCAATTCTCCAGTCGCGGGTGCCCCCCTTGCTGGGCAGCTGCCTAATCAGCAACCTGTACCTGGAGCACCAGGTCTTAGTCCTATCAACCAGGTAATCTGTTTTAAAAATATATTTATTCATGCTAAATACAGTATCGGACAAAAGGTTGGAAGCATTCTTAGTGATTTTCAAAAAGTGCGCTAAATTTCATTCATTATTATGGGTCATTTTTTTCTCATATAGTTTGCTTACAGTTTTGAGGAAACAAATGACAATTTGTGTGTTGCGGTGGTACTACAGACTAGCATTAAAATACCTTCATATTATTTTATGACCAAACATGGGACAACAAAAGTATGGAAACATATTTTTTATTACAAAATTAAATACAATAGCTCTACAAAAAGATTTAAAAAATACTGTTTAGCTAATATTAGGTAGCATAGCCTTTAGCATTCAACACTGCCTGACATCTGCTGCTCATAGAAGAACCAATTGTTTACACGCGTTTGTTGGGATATTTTACCAAATATTTTGTACATACATCAGTCTCCTGATCAGTCGCCGTGCGCTGTGCGGGTTCGAGTCCCCTCCCAAGAGAAATTTTTCTTTTGGCTATGGATGGTGTGATTGTCCGTAGGTGGTAGATGGTCTCTGACTGTCGAACGCGGAGGTACCACCCGGCGGTTCTCGTAGGCGGATCCAGAATATGTGCATGTTGCATGCACACGTGTTCCCTCGCCAGAGTTCGTGTGGCGTCCCCCCCTTTCCCATGTATCCCCCTATAGCCCCACGGTACCCAATGGGTGCGTAGGCCTTAGGCCTTCGTGGTAGTTGGAGTATAAAAAAAAATCAAATAAATCGCTCCTATTTTTTTAAGTTTTTCTTGACAGTTGTCTTTTAAAATGCACCCAGAGATGTTCTATAGAGTTTAGGTCCGGGGATTGCGAAGGCCATGTAAGAACATTAATATTTTTTAGTCTTAACCAGTCCTTAACAAATTTTGAGGTTTGCTGGGGGGCATCATCTTGCTGGAATATCCATAGTAAAGGCATTTCTTCTTCAGCAAAAGGGAGCATGTGTTCACTAAGAATATCTTTGTAAAGTTTTTGATTCTTGATATTTATTAATAATTTTCGAAATCGTCCCTTTGTTCATTTTTACTCTTTGAGAAATGTCAACATTTCTGACACTACTTTCAAATAATTACTTCAATTACTTTGTCTCTTTTGAACATTCTTTTACTTTTGTCATTCTCACTGATGTTAATATTTACCGCATGCAATATCAGAGCATCGCAGAACGAACACGGCAAAACTGAAGTGTTTCTCATAGAATTTAAATATAAATATTCATAAGATAAACCTTGTATTAGTACGGGAGACAAAGGTAGACTGTAATATTTATATTATATGTTCCTTCACAATTTTAATTTAGGTATATGAAATAGTTCATAATAATGTTGTTTTCAAACTTTTGTCCGCTATTGTATAGACTGTGAATAAATCCATATACCACAAAAGAAAAATATCTTTGTGCATCGGTCTTGTTACAACACATAATACAGCGGTAAACAGTCTAAGGAATTGGTAAGGACAAGAAAAAAGTAGACATAATACAGTACCTTTGTAGATCAGTAATGCAGAAAGTATATAAGATATTTTTATGCTGGAATTTTTATTAATCACATCATTTCTGGGTCTGTATCCAATAGCCATTAGGTACCTTTTACACTCTTTTTTTTCGCGAGTGATATTCGTGGCATGTGGAATCTTGAAATTTTCAACAGTTTCAAGGCGGTTTTTATTTTCATAATGGATAAAATAATTAAAAAACAAGAGACAAAGAAATATTTGGTGAAAACATGGTTGGAAAATCGCAACAGATATGGACATTTGCCTCTGCTCGATGAGTTGCGTGATAATTTTCCATGGATTTTAGAAATTATTTGAGAATGGATTCTGAATGAATTGGAATGTTGTTAGATTTGGTTTCTCCAATGATTTCTAAACAAGACACAAAATTGTGTGAACGCATAAGTACCGAAGAAAGACTAACAACTACTACAGGTCGTTCGGTTGAAGATTTGAAATTTTCAAGTGGAATAATCGCACCATCTTTATGTAAAATTATACCAGAGTCACGTAAAGCTATACGTATATGAAGTATTAAGAAAAACATATTTACTAATTTGTCGTAAGCAACATTTTTTAAATTTCTGTTTGTATATTCTCGGGATTTGATTTTCCGTAAGCATGGATAAGATTTATGTATTTCAAAAAACTCTGAAACTTCTTTCGACCAATATCGTGAATCTGCCATATTACCTACCTAACAATTAACATGATTAAAACTTTGTATATGTATAATTATCAATAAAATACTTACCCTCGCTAGAATACAGCTTATGCACGATAGTCTGTGCGAAAGTAAAATGTAATCAAATGTTTTACCTGCACGGAAATCACAGACGACGAAGATGCGAGTTTGAATACGTCTAAAAACGAGCGATTATTTTTCATTTACACTGGCATGCTTTCGCACACGATTGGAACGGGCCGTGCCAGTCCCGCAGGAAAGTGTGTAAATAATGTAGATATTTTTTGATACTTGCCTAATGAACTTGAGAAACTATCAAAGATTCAAGAAAATATATAAAACCTCATTAGTGATATTTATGACTTGAAACCACACTTGCTGAAACTTAAAACTTCTGAGTAATCAAAAATGCATTTTTGCACGAAATTTGGGGGGGATGAAGAAAGTTTTGCTTTTACATCGAAAAAAGATAAGGTATTAAAATAAAAAATGTGTCTGGGGAAGTCCAGGACTTTTTTAGTCTTAATGTGGCAATGTTGTTTTAAAAATCGAATTGTCTCGAAAAACCATGTCACTCATTCCCATTGATTTGTATGTCTGTCTGGTAAATCTGAATAACGCTGAAGGTACTGCTTGGATTTTCCAGAGATTTTTATAAGGTACCTCTATGTCAAGGTCAACTGAAGTTTGAGTATTTGAATTTAATAAATTGAACAATGATATTAAACAGTGTTCGAATTTAAAAATGTTTAAGGTAAAATTAAAAAATCGCCTTATAAATACTCAGAATATATGGTTATGTAATTTTAATAGACAAGAATGTAAAATTACAGAAAATTGATACAAAAAATGAGTAAACGAACAATTATACAAAACTGACATTGTAGCATTAAGGGGCCGTTCAGGTATTACGAAAGCAGATTTATTACAATTATTTACCCCCCCCCCCTCCCCCCAGTCAGCAAAAGTTAGCAAAGCTCTTACCCCCTCCCCCCATGCTTACGTAAACATTTGTCAATTAATGTATTGTTTTTTTAATATAATAATTATAACGTTATAATTATAATTTGAAAAATAAGAAAATCGATTTAGGATAGAGATTATATTTTACTAATACAGTATTCAACATAGAGTAAAGGACAAAAGTATTATATCTTACTAACATAACAAACTTTAAATTTTTGGTACATATATTAAATTCAAATTAAGTCTTCAGTCCATGAAACCCGAATCCATGATTCTAAGTTTTCGATGACATTGGATTGCTTCGATTGCTGCTCAGTGTTGTGAGTTTGCTCGCTTTCATCGGATTTTGGAATGGCTACGTCGTTCTCATCGAGCCATTCAACATCTGGTGCTCTAAATTTTGAATAATGCACATCAGTTCATTAGCACGACGAGCGGCGACTCTTACAGGTCTAACTTTCCTATCGGTGTGCGTGTTTACTTTTTTATGGATATTTTCGATGTGACGATTTAGTGACTTGACGGAAGCATAATAAAGACTACACGTTTTGCATGTTCGACTTGATAGCCTCAATTTTACCGTCGGACAAAAATAATCGTAAGGCATTTGCAGGAAATCTTTGAGTTAAGCACTTAAGCGTAGAGCTAAGTTGACTGGAAGATTAATAAATCTAGTAATCTAAATAGGCCACTTCTTGGATGACAGCATTCAGTATTTCTACATTTTACAATTTGAAGCAAGTATTGGCTCTCACGCACATGTTCTGAATACCATTTAATGTCTGAAAAATCAGGAAGATCTTGTTCACCTGCCCCAACATATTTTGCATTAACATTATAGCCATCAACTTCCATTGAACTCCATACTTCAACTAATACATTTCCTACAAATTCGAAATTAGATCTTTCTAAATGTTCATCAATTGTAACGCCACGTTCATCCAAATGAGACCCAAAATGGTCATGAGGCAATATTAAACCAGCCAGTTCCCATCTAAGAGGAGCCATTCTGCGCTCTACTCTGTTATACGCACTTCTTCCAGGAGCATTGGTAGCTAAAAACAATGCATCGAGATCATGTCGCTTAAAGTGTTGTATAGCAAACCCTATGACTTTTTGATAACGTGGATTTTCATCTGGCCCTCCTTCAACTGTCATGATTACCACTGGTTTTACTAGTCCATGGTAAGTTTTAGCTAATGGTCGAAACTCTTCAAGTTCGAGAAGCGTCTCGAAATCCTGAGCATGAGTATTAGCAGTAGATGAACTATGCTTTCCACTTCGAATAGCGATGTATGTTGGTCCAGAATATCCAACGGCTTGCGGTTGTCCTAGCATATTGGAAGTGATTTTGATAACAGCATAAACAGATGGTATTAATTTATGATGCTCAGCGATTACCCAATCGTGATCAGGCAATTTGATTCTATATTCCATGTGCACTAGAAGAAGTGCTTGCTTATTTACCGCAGTTACGCCAATAGGGACTCGAGCTTTATCATCTTGACATACGAAAAATACTTGATCTGCTCCAAGCATGGATGCTATGTTCTCTAAATAATGGAATGATGTTTCAGCGAACTTGATATCTAAGTGGCTCTTGTGGTGATCAGTTTGAGCCCGAATGAGCTTAACAGGAACTGTCGATACATGTCTCCGTCCCTCTGCAGAATTAGATTTTCTGGGAATCAAACGAAGATATGTCCCACTGCGATTAATGTCAAATCCTATTTCACGTAATTCTTGTGTAAGTTCATCAAGAGTTTTTACGCTGCGAATTGATTCCGTTCGTCTTCTATCATCTGCTGCACTCCCAAATAAAGCTATATCCGCGATTGTTTTCAATAGTGAATGTTGATTGCTTTCAAGAGTAGGACGTCCCACTGAATCCCTCAGAGATGCTTTTTTTATTTCTGGATTTTCATGACAAATATCTTCTAACTTTCTTTTCATATCATCCCTGTGTTTCTTCTGGACAACTGCGGTTTGAACCTTCCTGTTTAAAGACTGTTTTGCTGTTTTTATTTCCTCGCGCAACTTAATGATCTGTTTATCAACTTCAGCAGGGCTTGGCATAGTATCTCTGGCAGAATACAAAGCATTCAGATTTTTTTCGAGTAGAGCAATCTTATTTTTCATAGCTTCCTGAGAAGGTTTTGATCTCTGTTTATCTGTATTTTCATTAATATCGCATTGCTGTTGTGATTCATTACCGCGTTTTATTTTATCTTCTTCCTCTTTTTTAATATTTGAAGCTGACTGTATAATTTGTGTTTTTTCTGCAGGTTTACAGGTTGCCTAAAAATAAAAACTTTCTATGGCTTCTGCTAAAGATTCTCTTATTAAGTTACATAAATACAAAGTATGGCAATATATATGGTAAATACAAAACCCTATACCTTTAAATCTAATATGTTTAAACGAGCAATTCGTTCCGGTCACATTCAATACAGGGTGTTAGTTTTCTGTATATATGTATAAAACACATCTTGTACTTTGTGACCAATTGACGGAATCACTCATAAGAAATAAATCTATAATATAATGAATATTACCTCTATACTTTGAGATAGGCCATAATATTTTCTAATCTGTAAAGAGAAACTTTTTGGCGATTTCTAATATTTCTAGTACTCATAGGTACCTAAAATAATTTCGTCACTCACCCTAGAAAACAAATTTAGTAGATTGGATTTATTCTTAGTCGCCGCTTGCAATTCTTCTTCGATTCTCTTAGATACAATAATATCTAGTTCCTTGTCGGATTTTGCTTATAATTTGTAATTTCGCCACACTTCGTTAACTAACTTTTGTACTTTCGTACTTGTATGAGTTTTTTAAAACTTTCAAACAATTTTTTGTATAACTTGGATTTGTCTATGTGAAACGACATCTTATTTAAACATTAAACTTTGGCTAATGGAATCAATGGTAACACAAATGTTAACTTGCTTTACTATGCTTACAATACGTCTACTCGCTATAGTATCCAAACGAAACAATACACTGATAGAGGAAATTTAGACATGTGAACACCGCGCGGTAATTCCCCTACTCGGTTCTAAAGCGAATAGGGGAATTGCCGCGCGCTGTTCACTAAACGTATGCATTATTTGTGAGAATCCCCGAAAATGCGTTTCGTTTTCAAGCAAAGACAATGTGAGGGTTGCCATTCGTGTAAAAAAGTAAATAACTACCGATGACGTAATCATCATCTAGACTCCCCTACCCCTCATGCCATCCAAAATAAGCAAAGCAAAGACCCCCCGACCCTCCATAGAGCTCACGTAAGACTTGAACGTCCCTAATGTAGTTTCCACAAACAAACAAACTTCATTTATTCCACTTTTCAAATGTATATTTTTTGCGTAGTATGTTGCGACAACGGTTCTGGGTCGAATTTCGCGTTCCCTAAGAGCGTTTAGTGTTTTCGGGACGATGGGCGAGGGTTACGTATCTGGTTCGTTCAAAAACCTACAGATAAACTCGCTTGCTTGTCGCCTTGTCGGTCTGGATGTCGTTTGGGAGCGGGAACGCCTACTTCAGGCGACACTGCTTTTCTGGTTTTATGCGGTGCCATCTTAAAATTATAATGATGGCTTCGCAACACATTGCATAGTAAGGAAGAAAATAAATAAATAAGCTGTTATTGAAATGCATAAAAACAAAATATCGTCGCATAGTAACCAGTGATTAAAACATATGTGGTAAAATTCGTTTCCAGGTGTTTTTTCAATTTCTGGTCTCATTAAGGCGCAGACAAATAATTTTATGAGGTTACATTTTTTTGAGATGTGCCTTCTGTCTATTACTATGCAAGTGAAAATGTACACGTTCCAGGGGCCCGCTCAACCTCCGCCACCTCAGTTTGCTGCTGCCAGTGCCGATCAAAATCAACAGCAACAATTACAACTTAGACAGTATCGGTTACAACAACTCCAGTTGCAAAGGGAACAAGCCCAGAAGAATCACTTATCACAGCAGCAAGGTATGTTTCTGACCTATCAACAAAAATTGTACTAAATCTTCAAAATGTCTCATCATCACTAATTATTATTTGGTGTCTGTAACTTATATTTTGTTGCCGTGAATGCTGTTAAGTATGGTTAGATGAAAAAAGTGTACTAGTACGACTTGTTTGTATTGCGGAAATGATCTCGGAGCTAGGGCCGCGTGGAAATTACCAGCATAGATAGCATACAGATTCGACAGTTCCTGTCGGTCATTTTGATCTTGGTGTCACCAATAATAAATACCGATTACCATAGGCGCCTGCAGGAATTTTTTCCCAACGGGTGCAAATAAAAAAATTATGACTGTGCTCCTGAGGTAATCTACCTTACCATATCAATTATATGATACATTAATAATAATAATTCATGATTTTACTAGATAAACCTACTTTTGATATGTTTCTTAAGAAAAACAGCCTTAAAATGTACCGTACACGTTTCTAAGCGTGTATCCTGCTTTTTCGAAATCATTGTTTTAGTGAGTCACAGTCACTGTGACGTAAATTTTACAAACACAGCGTACTTTGGTTGCGTTTTTAAATCAGTTGGTAATATAATACCGTGCACTGTAATGGAACGTAGATTGACAGGTGTAATTTTACTTTAGAATACTGTGTAACTTTATTTTAAGAATGCGTCACATTAAATTATTACAGTCATGAAATGACACTTCATGACAGTCGACTAATTTCTAACCACCTTTTTTGGACCATTGTTTTTATCATAAAAAAACGCTATAGATACGAGGTAGCCCATTTATCACGAAAAATATATATTCTGTCGTCTGAGCACTTTTTGATGGGCAAATAAAGTAAACAAATAATTAACCACGAGAATGGCAAGTGACAAAACAGACGATGAGCACTGGCAAAAACAAGGATTATTTTATTCTATTTTCGAACGCTTGGAACCGGTACGTCAAGCAATTAACGAACGCTGAAATTGTTACAGAGTAGAACAAAGTGCACTCTGTAACGCAGCCCTAGTAGGGCTCTGTGCTAAAGTTTATTTACATTTCAAGAAACGGAGACTATAAGTGCTATTGGGCAGATTCGGTCGAGCCCATATACAGGATAAATGCTAAACCAGCAATTTACAGTGGTAGACGATACGGCGGTGTATGCAGCCTCGCCAACCTTGGCGTACTGAGTCCGATCATGTAAATATGTTTGGGTTTAGGTTCATTCTTTGATACATGGACTATAGTAGTAGCAGGTACATTGCATTTGGTATGATTTCCGTCACTGTCACTGTGATATTTTGTATGTCATACTATATATATATATATATATATATATATATATATATATATATATATATATACATTGGACGTCACGACCGGACAGCGCAAGTACGGTGGCCCGCCGCCCGGTTGGGAAGGCCCGCCGCCCGGCTCCGGGTGCGAAGTGTTTTGCGGTAAGATCCCCAAGGACATGTTCGAAGACGAGTTGATCCCGTTGTTCGAGCAGTGCGGCCCCATATGGGACCTGCGGCTGATGATGGACCCCATGACTGGGACGAATCGCGGCTACGCATTCGTCACGTTCACTACTAGGGACTCCGCACAGCAGGCCGTGCACAAGTTGGATAATTACGAAATCAAACTTGTCTTGTCATATTTTATATAATTTTAACCATTGTACCATGTATCCAGCTCTCACCATGTTACTGGACGTTTCCCTCATCCTATACGAAAACAACAATTAGCAACATCCTCACATACTACTGTAAGTTAATTCAATTTAAATTCATTTTACACTTTTGTTGCTACTTTTATCATTGTAATTGCAGCTCCTGATGATGATGGCAAAGTCCATTGAAAGCTAGAGAGAATTAAAAAAGTATAAAGAGTCCTCTTTGCTTAAATTTTGTCGAAGTACCCAACAAAAGGCGGAAGCTTTAATTTTTCACCTATATATATATATATATATATATATATATATATATATATATATATATATATATATATATATAATTCAGCGCTTCAGGCCCATGGCTTCCATCTCTTTGACAACTTCTTTCCATGCTGTTTTGGTCTTTTAATCGCAGTCTGGTATGTCTTCTAGTCTTCGTATATCCTCTTTGACACTTTCCAGACATTTTTTCTTCGGTCTTCCTCTTCTACTGTCTTCTCCTCCAAACAAAACTTTATTGGCATTCCTATAAGACGGCATTCTGTAAACGTGTCCCAGCCAGCGCACTCTTTGAGCTCGGGTTTTTTGTATTATACAGGGTTGGTTATACATCTCTGTCAGTTCTTTATTAGTTAACCTTCTCCATGTACCATCGTTGTGTTTTGTGCCCCCATATATTTTGCGTAACATTTTTCTTTCCCAGCGTTCTAATTTCTGAACTTTTTCCTGGCTTAACACCCAAGCTTCACTGCCGTAAAGTACTGATGGTTGGATAACCGATTTGTATATCATTTCCTTTGTTTTCCTTGATATCCACCGTGCTTAAAGCTCCCATTGCTTTACTCCCTTTTGCTATTCTTTTTCAATTTCTAAATATTCTTCTGCTTTATTTGTTATTGTGAACCCTAGATATTCAAATCGATTCACCTTCTAGAAACAGTATTCTCTGCAACTACTTTTATTGTTAACTTTCCTTCGTCGTTTCCTCTCATTTCTAGGTATTTTGTTTTGTCTTCATTTATATGAAGCCCAAAACGTTTGGCAGTTTCTTCTAACCTTCTAAATGTCTTTTCAAGTTCTGCTTTGGATTTGGTTATTATTGATATATCATCGGCGTAAGCAATCAACTGATGTTTTCTATAGTAAACAACTCCGTTGGTTTGTATACCACAATCACGTAAAATAGCTTCCAGCGTAAAGTTAAACAATGTTATAGATAGCGGGTCCCCTTGTCTCAGGCCTCTCGTTACGCCAAAAGCTCTAGATGTTTTCCCTTCCAATGTGACTTTGTTCATTGTGCCGTTCATTGTCATTTTGACTAACCTTATCAGTTTACTTGGAGGTTCTACAAAACCAAATTCAGATGGCCTGGGATACAATGCACCAAGAAGACATCAATCACTTAATCCAAACAATGCCGCGACTTAACGAATGTGTAGCCAACAGAGAAGCTTCAACACATTATTAACATTAAGGTGGAATATCTCACTCTCAATTTTAATTACTTTTTATTTATCAGTAGACCTAAAACTTGTAAAAGTATGCCCAAAATTACAGCACTTCTCTAGTCGGTGTTGCATTTTCTGTAATATCATTTAGTATATAATTAAAATATGGTAAAGTACATTTCTTCGGGAGCCCATTGCAAAAAATTCGTGCAGACACCGTGGTAATTGGTAGGTCAAAATCAGCTTCGCAAGCCATTGGAGGGTGGCAGTCGTCAGGTTTCTCACCTACTTGCACACAATAAAAATACATTTTTTCACCATTCAATAATGGTATTTATCTATAGGTGTCTATACATCTATTGACCTGTGCAAAAATCCAGTATGACGTCCATAAGAAAAAAATAAAGTTGATGATTGTGACTGAGGGCAAGATACAAAACGTCATATTGAAATTCTAATTGTGCCATCTTGTAGAGCCGATAGAGGAGAAAAAATGGCAATGTTATTGTGCAAATTATTTCAATATTCGATTTCAAATAAAGTCGGGAAAAAATTAAAACGATTTTGGAAAATTCCGCTTAGCTCTGGAAATACTCTGAATTGCGAGACTTCCTAAGTGCCATTGCCGTTTCCAAGATCCCAGTAGTGACGATCGAAGTTGAAACATCCGGTATAGTCAGTTTGTATTCACTCCACTCTCGGAATGTCCGGGTGGAGGGTGGGCTCGAGGGAACAACATCGAAGATAAAATTTGTTTTTCGAACATCTGCGGGATTAACAGCAACTTTGATGCTGTTCATCACTACCTGCAATCCAATCGTCCCGCCGTGCTTTTCTTGGCGGAGACAAAAATCTCAGAGACTGCACCGATTAACCATCTCAACTTCCCAAACTACGAGGTACACTCCAATCTGAGAAGGAATGGGGGAGTTGTGGCTTTTGTCCGCAGCAGTCTTTCCTGCTCCAAGGATCTTTCTTTGGAATCAGACCGGAAGGACATTCTGTGGCTTCGCCTCAACTCCAAAACATCATCCAAATGTATTTGCTGCCTTTATCGCTCTCCGTCGAACATAACTGGGATGACCTACTGGAATACCTCGCCGTCCAGACCGACTTCCTGAACATCAATCACCCCGCTTCAGAGATAGTTCTTCACGGTGATTTCAATGCCCATAATGAGCTTTGGTTGGGCTCAAATAAGACCGATGCAGCAGGTCGTGCAGTCGAAGCGTTCGCTCTTACTCAAGGGCTGACCCAGCTGGTGACGAGCCCTACTTTTTCCCCCGCGTCTCGTCACACGCCAGTAGCCTGCTGGATCTCTTTCTGACCACACATCCTGTCCCTTACAGCACTGCTGTCCTGTCCCCCCTGTGTAACTCAGACCACGGTGTTGTGGAGGTTAGATTTCGGTCAGAACCCGCTGTGGCAGCAGAAACTCGTTCAGGCCGCAAAACTTGGCATTACGGACATGCCGTCTGGGAGGGGCTCAGAGACTTCTTCTCTAGCTTTCCTGGAGAGATGTCTGTTTCACTGACGCGGATGCGTCGACTGTCTGTTCTTCGATAACCGAAATTATCCACGTCGGAATGGAGGAATACATCCCTCACACAGTGAAAGTGTCTAAACCAGGGCCAACTTCTGGTTTAACAAATCGTGTGACACTGCTCGCCAGCAGAAGATCAAGGCACACAGAACCTACTTACAAAACCCCACTGTAGAGAACAGACAAGCCGACGTCGAGTCCAGAAACAAATATAACGAACCGGTTCGCAATGCCAAAAACCAGCACGATATAAAAGTTAGGCACAGGGTAATGTCGCAGCGCAATGGCAGTCGGTCTTTCTGGACGCTGGCCAAGCAGATTGAAAATAACTTTTCACACAGTAGCCTTCCACCACTTACGTGTCAGGATGGAACTATTGTACTCGACTCAAAGGCCAAGGCGGAAGTGCTAGCCAAGATCTTTGCTGCCAACTCCACCATGGACGTCCCCACCAACGCCCAAGTGCCGTCAATTCAAAGGGTTCCCCACACTATGCGAGAGGTAACATTCAGGCATAAGACCGTAAGACGAGTGCTCTTGTTGCTCGACATCAACAAAGCTTCTGGTCCGGACTTGATTCCTGCCATCGTACTGAAGAGATGTGCAGCGGAGCTTGCTCCAGTTCTTTCGCGTCTCTTCCAGATATCTTATGAATCCAGCACCTTCCAAGAAAACTGGAAATTTGCTCATGTCCAGCCCATCCCAAAAAAAGGGTCTAAGACCGACCCTTACAACTACAGGCCTATAGCTCTGCTTTCTGTTATAAGTAAAGTGATGGAGAGGTGCATAAATCGCGAGCTTCTGGACTACCTCGAACGTCACAGCTTGATTAGCGACAGGCAGTACGGTTTCCGGCACCAACGATCCATAGGGGACCTCCTAGCTTACGTCACGCAATTGTGGAGTAAACTCATCCAGTCTCATGGTGAGGCTCATGTCGTTGCTCTTGACATCACGAAAGCGTTCGATCAGCTGTGGCACGCTGCCCTCTTAAGCAAACTTCCATCCTAGGGCCTCCCAGAAAAGCTTTGCAGATGGGTGGCTGACTTTATCTCTGGCCGCAAGATATCCGTCGCAATTGACGGGTTCTCCTCTTCATCCCACAACGTCAATGCGGGTGTTCCCCAGGGATCGGTCTTGGCTCCAACACTGTTTCTCTTACATATCAACGACCTCCTTTCCCGCACGATCAACCCAATCCACAGCTTCGCTGATGACAGCACTCTACATGCAGGAATTCAGAGTGACAAGCCGATCTCTGCCGCTGAGCTGGAAAAAAGAAGACTAGCGACGACTTCTTCTCTGACAAGAGACCTGGAGGCTATCACTGCTTGGGGACGCAACAATCTTGTACAATTCAATGCTTCCAAAACACAGTACTGTACTTTGACGAACAAAAAGCGTCCTAGCGCTCATACAGTTTCGATGGACGGCCGAGTTCTACCAAAGAGCCATTCATTTCGGCTGGTCGGAGTCCAGATCACCGAGGACCTGATCTGGCACGAACACATCTCGTCAATAGCTGCAGCTGCTGGGAAAAAGCTAGGCTATTTGTTTAGGGCTAAGAAGTACTTTTCTCCGCATGACCTTCTCACTCTATACGAGGCCCAGATAAGGCCTAGCCTCGAGTATTGCTCACACATTTGGGGTGCTGCCGCCCCGACTACATTGTCCATGCTCGATGCTGTCCAGAGGAGGGCGGTCCGACTGATCGATGACTCTTCTCTAACAGACAGTCTCGGTACTCTTTCGCACCGGCGGGCCGTCGGCGATCTAGCTCTTTTCTATCGCTACACCAACGGACTTTGCTCCTCAGAGCTCTCTTCCATGATGCCGCCGCGCGATGTGCCTGCCAGACAGACCCTCCTGACTTCGGCGTCCCATCCTAACCGTGTCAAACTTCTTACATCCAGAACTGGCCGATACGACCGCTCCTTTGTCCCGAGGGTATCTAGATTGTGGAACAATCTACAAAAGGAAACTTTTCCCAGTTCTACTAATCTTAGGCAGTTGAAAAATCGTATTAACAAAATTTCTTTGGGATCATCATAGCAGCCGCGGCTGTTTCGATATATAAAAAAAGGGTGTAAACGTTATGGTAGTCATTATTGAAATGGGTAATAGGGTGGGCGGGGGTCAAAACAAGTCAAAAAGATCATATGACCCATGGTCCAAAAGTCAATAGATTTTTGTCTAAATGGCTTTATAGTTTACAACTTTAAGTGCTTTATATCGACCACAATCACCACAATCTTACTAATTTTTATAATCTAATCTATAACGTTTTTAAATTGGATAATTAACAAATAAATGGCTTTAAGTTTTTCTAAAATTTGTAGTCAGTAAGTAAGTTTCATTAAATTAAATATTTAAAACACACATGACAACTTCGCGTCGGTCTTTCATCACTCTTATCGAACCGGCAATCGATCGCAAACGGTAACAGTGGTTAGTTATCGTTTTGCATAGATAAATTACTTTATCGTTTTGTCGGGCGTGTTGTTTTGTTTTTGTTCGCCGACATGTCGTTAGTTTACGGTGAAGCTCGTCAGAATTCAAATCTTGCAGCTCAAATTTATCGTGACAGATTTCATCAACGGGTACACCCAGACAGACGGACATTTGTGCAAGTGTACCAAACACTTTGAGATACAGGAAGTGTTCAGCCCACTAATATTCGCACTCGTGAAAGACAGGTTACTGTAGAGCAGGAGAAACAAATTTTAAATTTCGTGGAAATCAATGCAGATATCAGCACTCGGGAATTAGGCTGCCGTGTAGGACTATCGCATACCACAGTCCATAGAATCCTACGGGAAAATTTGCTTTATCCCTACCATGTACAATGAGTGCAGGCCTTGTTACCACAAGACTATCCTCGCAGACTAACATTCTGTCAGAGGTTTTTGCACAAAAACATTGAAAATCCGGATTTTTTAACGAAAATTCTAGCGACGGACGAATGTACTTTTACGCTAGACGGGATATTAAATTTCCATAATACTCACACGTGGGCCCAAGAAAATCCTCATACCATTCGTGAAGGTCATTTCCAACGTTTTAAAATAAATATTTGGGCGGGCATTCTTGATGATCAGGTAATTTGGCCCTTTCGAGTTACCCCCAAAGTTGTCAGGAGAAGGATACCTTAGCTTTCTAGCCAACAACCTACCATAACTTTTCGAACAGACCTTAGACAACATGCCATTACAGCGGAGACATAATTTGTAGTTTCTTCATGATGGGGCACCACCACACATTTTTAGAGGCGTCATTCAGTATTTGAATGAACATTATCCAAATCGCTGGATCGGTCGAAATGCTCCTGATCCTCGAAAATGGCGAGCAAGATCTGAACTCAGATTTCTGTTATTGGGGAGAACATAAAGGGATGGTTTATCGGGCTGGTCCAATAACAACTTCGCGAAAAAAATTTAATGTGGCTGAAATAATGAATGGACAACTTCGAAGACCTAAAGTAAGAAGAAACTGGGTTCGTCGTAATGAAGCTTGTGTGGAAAGTGAAGGACGACATTTTGAACACCTTCTTTAAATACAAAAAAGTGCAGTGTGGGTTTTAAAAAGAAAAACACTGTATGTATCAAAATTGTGTTCCCTATTTATAAATGGATTTTTTAATACGTTCAATAAACTTTCACACACCAGGTGAAGCGCTGAGACAGTTAGTGGTAAGCCCGTTTTTTTTCAATTGTTTGCATTTTACGAGTAAATTATCAAATAATGAAATAAGACCTAAGAGCCAAAAATAACAAACTCCATCTTTATTGACACTGCGTTCCGTCGTAATTTGCGTCTGGCATTGCGGCGTTGTCAGATTTTATTTTACTTTAAAGTCGCTTTTCTCTAAAAAAATGCCGTAATGATGTTATATGAAACTTTTTGCTTCTTTTAACCTCCTCTATGACCCATTTAAATAATGACTATCATAACTTTTACAGCCTGTATACATTCTTTAATTCGTAATCCTATAGTTTTTGAAACATACTCTCCATTGCAGGTGGTATAACTCAACAAACAGTAGTTCGGCCTATCAATCAGCAGCATCTAGCGGACTCAACGACGAATCCTCAAGTGCCAGATGCAGCGATGCATTCTCTGGTCGTAAATCCTAAAACTAAAACTGCTTTAGCCAATATGTTGAGCATTAAACTGCAAAGTGGAGGAGCTGGGACTATGGCCGTTCAACGTCCTGATACTATTGCTGAACCCTCTGCTGCTGGAACACTGAGGTAGGATTAATATTTAAATTCGTCTTCAAGAGAGCAACAAGCCAACAAAAAATATAATAGTGCATTTCCCGCGTATTTCGATTTTTTCAGTGACCTTTTTTGGGTACCTCTACCCCAGAACTCCCCTCCCCTCTCCGTGGTACCGCCACTGAGGTAAATTAGGACTGTAGAGTCCCAAATGTCATCAGGTTAGGACGACCAATTTTTAAGCTCGATTTCGGCTCCATAATACCACAATATTTTGATGGTTAGATTAGGTTTGAATTTAGCACCCTACATTAATGTGTAACAAGGTTCATCACTTGCAAAAACGGAGGTCTATATCTTTTAGATTTCCTACGAGAAAATGTACAAAACGCCCTGCGTGTATATGGCCTCTAAAAAATCTTTAAAAAACCCCTGCGTATTGTGGTCTCTAAAAGAATAGTCGATTAGTACAAGGATTTTGATAGTATTATAGATAATTTTTCTACTATATGAACACAGACATCCAGAGACTCTTGATAAATATCCCACATCACTACTAATCTTGTTTATAATTTTCTCATAATGAATATCAAAGTTTAAGGGTCAACAAAAACCATATTTAAAATTTTCTATGAATTCACTATCTTCACCATCAACATTTCATCATTTCTACCTTGTTTTTTATTATTATAGCGTTCGTTTTACTTGTATAATTTTTTAAAATTGCCTAAAACACATATTTGAAACAAGTTGTTCTGAAATGTGCTAGATGTTAGCAGATCCAGTAGACAGTAAGTCATATTCAGCAACTACACAGCACTAGCTCGTAGCAGCTAGGTGCAACTAAATTTAACCATTATTTATGCGGCACACCGTGTATTTCGTTTTAATAATTTTACGTAGCTCTAGATAATAAAATATGTCATTTCCTTGCAGGCTTATGACTGCTCAGCATAATGCTGCGTTGAACTCCAAACCCCAAGAAATAATTGCTTTGCAACGTAGAACTATTTCTGGGCCTAATGGGGAGATAATAAAGACACAGCAGTTACCATTATCAGCAAGTAGTGAACCGCCAAAGTTGCAGTTTACTCAAAAACCTTCCTTGCCTTTGCAACACAGGCCAGGACCGTTTTATGGGCATAATCCAAACCTGAAGTGTAAGTATGTCAACCACAAAGGGATTCACACTCCTTAAAGAACATGATTTAAAAATATTGAAAAGTATGAATATAATATAGTAATAAGAATAGCATGCATTTATTCGATTCACCTACATAAATTCTCATTTTGAGTAAGGTGAGGCACTACAATTTAAAATCAGAGTCGAAATTCCGGAGTGTTACCTTAAGATATTATTCAGCTTAGTCAAGACTCAAACGTACAACATTGAAGAAAGATAAAGTACTAAAGTAAAGCATAGAATTTCTGTAGTGTTTAACTCCATACAAGTACACATTTTTAAGTTTCATGATCATAATATTTATATAACTGAAAAGTTGTATAGATGATCTTATTCTAACTCAGTTTATGAAAAATGATCCTATAATGTTATCAGGTGCTGATAAACCATTGCTTGAATGTCAAAATCACACACCAAGTGTTCCCATTCAAGTCGAGTTTTAGTTATCGGATCAATCTACGCAACTACCTGTGTGCCAAACACGAACTGCATCAATGGCGATTATGACCTTCTGGCAAAGGCTCATTATTCTCCGATCCCATCAACATCCTTATGTGGATGGGCCGAATGGTGTCGTATTTTAACCTCCCTACCTAAATATTTCGAAAAGTGCGCATTTTCGAAAAACAGTTTCAAACAAAAGTAGGTAGCTTTTTTGATGCAGAAAAATGATAGTGGCTACGTCCTTTAAAGTAATTTCAGTTTCAAGTGAATATTTCCAAATGGAACATTATTTTCGATGGCCTTGACCATTGCCTTCAAGGTCAAATCGGGACATCTAGCTCTAGCGAAAATGTTTCGTCAACACAGCCGTGGGGGATCACCCAAAGATGACCTTGGCCATGACGTTCAAGGCCAAGTCAAAATTTCCAAAGAAAATTCTCATTGTTATATTGCAAATGAAAAAAGGAAATTTTGTCTGAACATAACCTGACCTGATTCTGAGCTCTGGCTTTGTTGGCTTTGAGCAGTACCATCTTACCATTCAGGCTGTTGTTCCAACACACTATATATTAACGAAAAAACAAACAGTATAGAGTGTTTTCTACATACAGGGTGTTCATTTGAAAACTTCCCACCACGGATTTATGTAAAACCAGTGATTAAAAGAAAAAACGCCGATACAGGTCAAAACATTTGTCAAGGGAGGCAACTGTTTAACCAAAAACTACTTCACCCCCTTTCACACTCTGTCCACAGGGTCATCACCTTGGAAATTTTAAATGACAAGGGGTATCGAGTAATGGGTTGTTTGAAAGGCCTTTCGAAGTCCTTTATTTTGAGGTTTGATTTTTTAAAATCGGTCAATTCGTTTTCAAGAAAATTTGAAAAATCTTTATTTATCTTAATTTCTTCAGATAAAAAAACAAAAACAAACGAAAATATCACTTTTATATCATTAAATGTTCAGAATGTTGCCCGTTATTGGAGAAACATTGATATAGGCGATGTTCAAATTCCTGACGGACATTTTCAAAAACATGTTGTGGGATACATGGCAGCTTTCGATGATGCGTTGACGAAGTTCATCCAAACTTTCAGGTTCAGTAGATTTCAAATGGTCCCATAGAAAGAAACTCTAATGGCGTCAAATCAAGAGATCTAGCAGGTCATCCTATAGGCCGAGTTCGCCCTATCCATTTATCTGGAAACTCGTCGTCTAGCCATTGCCGAACCGGAAGCGCCGTCATGGTGGAATATTTCAGCCTCATCAAGAATATCCTCTTCGATTTGGTTTTCAATGATTTCAGTGATAAGCAGACTGATGGTATTTTCCAACATATTCAATTAAATGTCTCCATTCAAATATCCATTAATAAACAATGACCCTATCACTTTGTTTCCTAAAATGCCTGCCCATACATTAATTTTTTTGCTTAATGAAGTATTAGCATTTATTACAAAATGGCCCAAAACTTCAACTTGAGCGACGTCATCCAAAACTCTCCGATGATCACGTTTTTTATATGCAACAGATCCAGTTTGAGAAAATTTAGTAACAAGGTCCAAAACATACCTATGCGAAGTTATCTTCTCCGGATGTCTGGCGTTAAACGTGACGGCAGTTTGCCGAGCACATTGATTTTGGAATTATTTAGTGTAAGTAAAATCGGAATCAATAAATTAATTTTCACTATCCCAAGATTGTCACAAAGGTAACTGACAGCAAATTAAATTATTTCTTCCCCTTAGCAACAAATAACTTAGCAGGTATAACAATAAATACAGTTCGCCCTGGATATGTGTTGATGAAAATAATGCGGAAAAAAATTCGGGTTGTTATTTGGTTGTTGCCACGTCTAATCTTCCGAATTGCTGTTTATGTTGGTAGTTTCCGTTTTAAATTATAAACGAATTGTAGATTTGGCAAATCCTATCGGGCAACATTTTTAACACTTATTGAAATAAAAAGTAATATTTTCGTGTTTTTCTTTTCTATCTGAACAAATAAAATAAATGAAGATTTTTCTAATTTTCTCCAAACCGAATCGACCTTTCAAACACGCTATTACTTGATACCTGCCTTCACTTGGAATCTAATTCTAGAAACTACTTTTTTTAGTACCACCTGACCTGTTCCTATTGGGTTGCATATTTGTGGTAGTAGAAGTGGAAAACTTCCTGGAGGAAAATGCTCCAGGTTGGAGACAGAAAATTGAAAAACACGGAGGTGAGTATAAATTATATTGCTCTATTTTGCTCCATATTAACATCTACCATTTGTTTTCTAGGTGAGATAGAAAAACAGTATTGTAGCCGAGTTACGCATGTTTTATGCGAGACTCAACGCCACGGTGTTGTCATGCAGGCGCTGCGTGATTGCAAAAGGTGTGTCACTGTCGTGTGGTTGAACGACGTCATGCAAAGGAAGCAAGTTTTACCGCCATGGACTGCGTTGCATCTTCCTAATATCTATTTAGATATTGCTCCTGCATCTAAACATCTAATTGCAATCAGTGGATTCGAGGGTAATGATAGAAACAGGGTTAAGCAGATGATCAAGTACACGGGTGCAAAGGTATGAAATTCCAGAACATTTAGGTATAATAATAATATTTATTCCAAATCTAGGATCACAAATACATATATATGATAGGTATCAATATATCTACTTTGAGATACTAATTGTTAATACATTTTCAGTGTACAACGTATTTCTCCAAACACAATACACTGCTGATCTCTGCAAAAGCGGACTCAAAAAAATGCCAGTACGCGAAAAAATGGCAAATACCCGTGGTGAATGTACAGTGGCTTACAGACATCATGCTGGGACATTTCACAGCTATGAATCAGATGGAAAATCAAATATACCAACAGTATCCCAATCCACCAAACTTTAGCTTCGATCCAAAGCTGGTTCCTAATTTGATGAGTAAGTACATTCATTCATTGATTTACCACTAGTTGATTGAAAAACATCGTATTTTAGTGGCATGGAAAGCACCAATAAATATATCTCAAGAGTCTTACGAGAGAGTAAAAAGATCTGCATCGCCAGTGATGTTACCGAAAAAATATAAAAAACCAAAGACAGAAACGACTGATGAGAATGGTAACATAAGTCAAGACCAAGTTACCAGCTCGACGCATAACATTCTATTTTCTATGTTTCATCATGATAATGAATTGGGGAAAATTGTTAGGTAAGCTAACAGCATAAGTGATGTCCAGAGTTGACAGCTGGACTTCCATACTGGTTTGAAATATAACCTTATATTTTGTATGCTTCGTGTAGAGTCGTTCATTTTGTGTTTTTGAAGCTTTTTTTTTGTTGTTATTGACTTGTTTTGTACGTGCTGGCGTCATGATATAAGTAATTATCAATGCTTGTAGTCTAATCATACGCGTATTAGCAAATTTCCCCGAAATAATTGTAAAGTCGGGTTTTATTGATGCAAATTGTCCTAAGGGGTATACCAGTTTTTGTGGGAATGCTTTTTATTCGACAACAAAGAATGAGAAAACGTGTTTTTTGAGATTCTATGGAAAGTGTTGGCAGGAACAAGATAACTCTTCAAATAAGATTTTTAGGTATTTATGAGACCTACAAAATGAGACTACACGTAAAAAGATCCGACTAATAGTAAAAAAGTTATGGCCGAAAACCGAAGGCGAAATGCAGGTTTTGGCACTTGTTGCTAACGCGACGATAATTTCACGCAGTTACTTGAAACTCTTAAAATCCGTAGGCTTCAGTGGCGAAGCGTCCATGTAACCATTGTTACCATTGGTAACAGTTAAAAATCTTAAAAATAAATATTTTATGACTAAGTACTGTGAAATAATTTCATTTATTTGTTTATCAACAGCGATAAGTAATAGTAATTCAGTAAATAGCAAATTAGCCCCACGCAAAATAATGCGCCCTATAGTGTCTAGGTTTTGCGAATACGATGAAGCTGACTTGCCTCGACTTGGTGGTCGGTTGTTACCACCGATACCATTTTCATTTATGGATAGTAGTCCGTCGGGGAGTGCCGGTACCGGTTCGTGTCTGATCGCGGCCACCCGAGTGCGTGGGGCCCTGCGACTATTATGTAGGCGTGTTACCATTTTTTGATTTGGTTACTCACTTCTCACTCGTCAGTAGCCGTTTTGGTTACCGGCTGTAGTGTGCGTGCAATTAAAGATGGATGAGTGTCGCTGCGTAATCGATCAACTACTTGAAAAGTCATTTTCCTTGTTTAATTTATAAAGAGGAGATCATTGAAAATGGAAGACCAACACCTATTTTAGATAATTTTAAAAACGAATAAAAAAATGTAGTTTGATATTTTAAATTAAGTTGGTATATGGAAACTCTTGGTTATGTGGTTGCAAAAAAAAGATTGTATTGTTGGCGATGTCTTCTGTTTTATACAGAAAAAAAATGGGTGGACCAGCAGCGCAGTCAACGATTTAAATAGTTTTAGGGCTCTAAAGAGGAGAAATGAAATTTCTCCGTTACATGTGAGATGTGTAGCCAATTTAATTCAGTTTGGCAAGACAAGAATCGAAAGTTGTCTTAACCAAGCTTTTAGGCAGCACACTTATAGATACCGTATGTTTTTTGGCAAAACAGGAATTACCGTTCATTTTGAAGTGGATGACTCTGACAATAGAGGAAATTACAGGGAATTATTAACATTCATTGCCAAAAAAGATCAAGAATTTTCCGAACATCTAGAAACGTCGACTGTTTTTTCGGACGGCTTGGATTAGTCATAGCATAAGACGATGAGGTATATCAAGTGCCCCAGACGCTCAGTACAGGAATGTTTACCTTAATTTAAAAATAGTTTAAATAAAATACCTAAAATAACCAAAACCTTATATTTGGGAGGTTCAAAATTAACTTTTTTTTGGTAACAGTTTAGGAAAAGTCACGCGTCGCCACTGGTAGGCTTCATACTTCTAAATAACCACAACAAAATTAAAGTCGATTGGTCAAGTAGTTTTTGAGAATTTCTGATTGTTTATCTTAAAATACCTGTCTTCCTGTCATCACTACTAGTTTACTGAGCAAGATAGTAACTAGTCTAAGACAGTTTGAAACATAATTGTGTCTTCAGTTTGCGTGCTAACTTTATAAACAGTTCAACGCATTTAACACGTTGACTGCCGCAATGTTAAAAAAATTGTGTCTTCTCTGGCCGCAATACTTTTTTCAGCTTAAATGACTAATAAGCTATAGTTTAGTAGTTCTTACTTAATGATGTTGATAATTTTGACCTAGAACATGTAGATATTGATGAGGATCCACGGTGGGTGCACGCGGCCCTTAAGTATGATTTTACACCCAGGAGCCACGTGGCTCCTAAGTGGGATCTCAGCGGACCTACGTCACGGTGATAGAGCGCAAGCGCCAGCGGCTATTGCGAGATATCGTATAACCACGTGCCGCTTGTTAGTATATTGTTAGAGTTAGTAACAAGCGGAGCGTGCGAATAAAAAGTCTACGATGAGTTATGAAAAAGAACAAGAAAGGCTCATGAAGATATGGCAGGTAGGTGTCACTTGAGACTTTTGGACACGGTTATACCAAAATATCTAACTTTTTCAGGAGCTGTTGTCCGATGAGGAGGAAGATCCATTTCCTGATTTGTCGGATGAGTATGTACCAAGTCATGACGAGTCATCAAGTGAGGACTCTGATGATGACTGTAGTGATCGAAAACGCCGTCGTTTACTTTTCAATGAATCCCAAACACCAACATCTGATAGTAATGCGGAAGTCGCCAGTACTTCAGCCATTGATCTCGAAATGGAAACAATTGAAGAAGTTATTCGTAGTTATGCTGCAGATTCCAGTGAAGTTGGTCCATCAAATAACAGTACCACAGATCTTGCTTGGTACCAGGTATCTGGCTCACATTTGAAAGATTTTCATTTTACAATATCTGATCCGGGAATCATACCACAAATATACGAATCATATTCCAATAAAAATCCAATAAACTTCTACGAGTTATTTCTGAACGATGACATTTTGGATATGATGGTCATAGAAACCAATAGGTATGCTGCTCAATGCAAGGCACGAAAATCAGCTCCTAAGGCTAGGATCCATCAGTGGCGCGATGTAGAAAAAGCAGAAATGAAAAGATTTATTGGTATAATATTTTGGATGGGATTGTGCCAATTTCCATCCATTGAGTCATATTGGTCGAAAGAGGTGATGTTTGATAATAAAATAAAAAATGTAATGTCAAGAAACCGGTTCCAGTTGTTGCTAAGAGTCTGGCATTTCCACGATAATGAGGTAATTTCAGAAAACAGGCTTCAAAAGATAGTTCCCCTGATAGAAAAGCTACTTGAAAGTTTCCAAGCCCCGATCGTTCCAAAAGAATCGCTTTGTATTGATGAAACACTGGTACCATTTAGAGGTCGTCTACGATTTAGGCAGTACATAAAAAACAAGCGTCATAAGTTTGGTATAAAACTGTACAAGCTTTGCTTGGAAAAAGGATACACATACAATATCAAGTATATGTCGGCCAAGATAAAACCGAAGGGCAAGCATCGTCACAGAATGTTGTACTTACACTCGCTAAGAATCTCTTGTACGAAGGTCGTACGATTTATACCGATAACTACTACACAAGTGTATCGTTGGCTCATGAACTGCTTGAGAAGAAAACACATTTAGTTGGCACTTTGAGGGCAAATCGAAAACTTAATCCTAAAGAAGTTACAGAAAAAAAACTGAAAAAAGGAGAGACTATTGCTGCCGAATCCACTTCAGGCGTAGTTGTTCAAAAGTGGATGGATAAGAGAGATGTCCTCACTCTCAGTACTAAACATACCTCTGAAATGATAAAAGTCAAAAGTGGTGACAAGGAAACGGAAAAGCCTGCATCAGTGATCGATTATAACAAGCATAAAGCATTTATTGATTTATCAGACCAAATGAAAGCTTATAATACATGTCTGAGGAGAGGCATAAAATGGTACAGGAAGCTGGCCATTGAACTGTTGACGGGTACTGCCTTGGTAAATGCATACATTTTACACCAACAAGTAACAAATCAAAAAATGAGCGTTACAAAATTCAAAGAGGTTGTAACAACAGAATTTCTGAATGTGGGAAGCCTGTCAAAACCAAACGAAAATATCGAAAACATGCCATATATTCAACATACTCTTGAGGATGTTGGAAGGGCAGGCCGAGGAAGGTGCAGTTTATGCTATGAAACACTAGCACGCCAACTTGGGCGCATTCATGCACAAGCTAAGACGCAAAAAACCAAATTGAAATGTTCACAATGTATGAAACACTACTGTTTGTCATGTTTTTTTGAGGTGCATCGCTGTACAAAATAAATAATGTTTATTAATGTTTTTATAAAGTTTGAATATTACTTTTTTGTATTTATATTTTTTACAGTTTTTTTTGGACTACAATAATTATAAATATAATAATTAGCTAATAAATATTGTTTAATTTCAATGACATAGGTAACAGCCACGTGTACCCATACAGCACACTAAGTTCACAGGCCAAATGCAAATTCTACATATAACAGCCACATATTCGCGTCCCCATATGAAACTAACGCGGTTGAAGTCCAGCTGTGGGTACACGCGGCTGTTAAATATTTTTCTGCTTGAGTCCCCACAGTGTAGTCTCGCGGCCAGATCTGTCGATTTCCTGAGATCCCACTTTGGATACTCACGGCAGTCAACGTGTTAAGTCTGGATTTTTTTTTATAAACTTCAAGAATCATCTTTTTTCTAGTCATCGTTGGTTGTCAGAGCGGTCCGTGGGACCTTAGCTCTTGAGTCACAGTGTCAGTTTGTAAGTCTGTCAGGTCTGGTAACCCAGAAACCAGACAATTTTAAGGAAAAAGGCGGAAGGAAAGGAGAGAAGGAAGAACGAGAGCAAAGGGGAAGAAGATACTCTTTTAGAATAGGCAGCGTTTAGGCATTGTTAAAATCACTTCACAGATTTTGATATGGTCTAAAAATATTTGATTTTTTCTAAAGATTGTGTAAAAATGCTCCAATTTTGGTTGTTCTAAGTTCACGAGTTAATTTTGATTACAGTGCGAGCCGCGGCCTTTTGTGCTTGCGAACTTGCTCGACTGTGTAGTCCACTGACTCACGCAACAGAGGGTTGCTGTGCGATTCCGCTAGGCTATAGCGCCGCTGCGCCTGTTGCTTAATGTAGTCCTTTAGGTAAGGGACATCGAGGTCTCTATGTAGAGTTTCGTTAGAGACATACCATGGGGCATCAGCAATAGTGCGCAACGTCCTGCTTTGCAGAACCTGCAGATTTCGCATGTGTGTTTTAGCAATAAAACACCAAGCCGCACATGCGTAAGTCATTGCTCGTCTTATGACCACCTTATAGAGTCGAATCTTGTTAATCAAACTTAATTTTGACCGTTTACATAATAATGGGTAAAGCTGCCGAAACGTAATTTGGAATTTAGTTTTTAGCGCTTCCATATGGTTCCGCCAAGTCATCCCTTTGTCCAGAATGACACCGAGATACTTAGCGGAGGATTCCCATGGTATACGAAGTCCATTAATTGAAACTTCAGACGGAACGCCGCGACGTCTTTTTGTACAGTAGATTGCCTGCGTTTTCGAATGGTTTATTTTAATAGCCACCGATCCGCCCAATCTAATACTTCCTCCACCGCACTTTGCAGCCTGTCATGGACTAGGTCACCAGACCACGACTGAGCCACCAATGCAGTATCGTCAGCATAGAGATAGACTTCACAGTTGCTGGGACTAGGGACGTCATGGATGTACAGTGAGTAAAGGATAGGTCCAAGGACCGAACCCTGAGGGACGCTTCTGTAATCAGCCGTGTTGTCGACAGTACATCGTCAATTTTGATCCGAAATTTCCTACCTTCAAGGAAGGATTTCAGTAGTTTTAGAAGCCAAAAAGGGAAGCCCTTTTGGATTAGTTTATACAGGAGGCCCGCGTGCCACACCTTGTCAAATGCTTTTGAGACATCCAAAAGCAAGATGCCAGTACTTTCGTTAAGGGTGAATCCTCTGGTTACACGTTCCACCAGCCTAACCGCCTGTAGCTCCGTACTATGTTCAGACCGAAAACCGAATTGCACGTCAGGAATCACATGGTGATCTGACGAGAAATTCTCAAGGTGAGGTAGAATCACCTTTTCAGCGAGCTTAGACGCAGCTGACAGCAGGCTAATGGGACGATAATCCTGGGGAAATATCGAACCCACCTTCTTTGGAATCATTATAACTTCAGCGGTCTTCCACGCGGATGGGAAGTACTGGATCCTTAGCATGGCATTGACTATTGCCACGAGATAAGTTAAGGACTTCCGCGAAAGCAGCTTCAGCGCCTTATTAGTGTTTGATCCTCCCCAGGTGCTTTACGCACTTTAAGGTCTTTAATATGACCTTGAATCTCTGCTGGTGTGCAATGCGGGATCTCAGGAGATACCGCTGATGTGCTAAGCAAATCTTCGGTTGAAGAAGCTTCTGAAGAAGAATCTTCTGATGAAGAAAAATCACCAACGAATGCGCGACTGTCACTGACGCCGTTGGCCCTAAAATATCTCCTGACAGATCTTACGATGTCTTGCTCCTCGTCGAGGTCATTATCAAGATCATAGTTGGGAGAGAACTGTCTTTCCATGGCATCGGCGAAAACCTCAACCTTCTCCTCTGTCCTGAAGACAATGCCTCCAGGACCGTGAATGTGTGGGATTTGTTCACGCTTTCCGTTTTTGAGCGACTTCGCCACCTTCCAGAGAGGAATGCTTGAGTCAAGCATCCCCGCCAGAAAGTCGTTCCATTGCTCATTGCGGAATTCATGAAGAGCATTTCTTACTTCGTGAACAAGATTCGTCGCTCTGCGAATGTCATCAGGATGACAAGACCTTTTCGCTTGCTTAATTGCAGCTCTTTTATCAGAAATTTTCTGACGAATGTCTGCTGGCAGAAAAGGTCTGCCGTGTCGCTGCACGGGAAGTACAGCTGCACGCTGCAGAGTTTGCTGAACAAAACTTGTCCACTCTGCTAGAGCCGCATCTATACCGTTCTCATCATCTATGATCGGTATATTGGGGAACTCTTTGAGGAGCGACTTGTATAGCTCCCAATCAATGCGTTTCCTTGGAGGGATTTCATCCCCCAAGATCTGCTCATTAGCCACTTCCAAAACGACGGGAAGATGATCGCTTGAGATGTCATACATGACTCGAGAAGTGATACTATAGCTACAGTTTTTGGATAATGCCAAATCAAGAACATCAGGTGCGTGAAGGTGATAAAATGGGTGGTGCGTCGGCTCCTCAGTACTATGTATGAGGTAGCCATTTCGTATCACATGGTTGTACAGTCGGATCCCACTGGTGGAATTCAACCTGGAATGCCATGCTCGATGTTTGCAGTTGAAGTCCCCTGCCACACTAAGTGGACCCGAGCAGTCTAAAAGGACTTCCAGATCCGCCTCTTGCAGCCTGTTACCACACCTGACATACACCGATGTGATTTTTAACGGCACACCTCCCGTCATATTGACCACCACGGAAGCCGCTTCGATGCTCTGCATGTCAGCGTTTGTGCTTCTGTGGTAGTCAATACCGCGTTTCACTAGCACTGCCAAGCCGCCTCCCCGTCCAGTCAATCTATCAGCCCGGATAACATCGTAATTCGGGAAAGCTAGATGATCTCCCGGATTAAGTAATGTTTCATGCAGCAAGGCCACATCTATACTTTCGTCCACAAGAGCTTGATGAAATTCCCGTCTTTTGGGAATGTCCCTTAGACCCAAACAATTCCAAAAAAGAATTTTGATAAATGCAGGCTGTCGTCGATTGTACCTAGCCATTTGCAGGAAAGATCGCCTGCAAAGCCTGTGTTGCGCTAATCAGAGGACCTATGATCTGCTGTAAGGACCTTAGCGCGGTTGCCAGGTCCACGTTTTGCGTCTTCGCAGAAGATCCCACAGAGGGGGCAGCCCGGGTTGCATCCCTAGCTGCATCCGCGTAACTTACATTGCGCCTTTGCGCTATCACTTGCAGATTTTTCTTAGGGACAAATCTGCAAGTTCGGCTATTCGCTGGATGCCCCCCTCCACAGTTCGCGCACTTTCGTTCCTCAAGGATCATCTGTGACCGTGTACAAATTTCAGCTCTAATGTATACACAAGAGAATGAAGAAATCTTGAAAAAAATGTTTTCTTCGTAACAAAAGGTGATAGACACATCCGCTTTGTTTTAAAATGTGTATAATAACGTATGTTTTCCGAATATCATAGCGAATCTGTTCATTTACTCACATTTGAATTTGTTTAAAAGAAAAAAGTGCAACCCTTCGTTTTTGCATAAAAATAACAACGGAATGGTTTGAGATTCACGTCGGCAAGGTAAATTTATGTATTTTGGTATGAGATGCCCTTTGAACTAACCCTGTATATTGGTCTTTAAACTAGTAGTGATTGCTGCAAGACAAGTGTTTTGGGATAAACAATTAGAAATTCTCAAAAACTCCTTGACCAATCGACGCCAATTTTGTTGTGGTTATTTAGAAGTATGAAGCATACGGATTTGAAAAATTAGCTGCGTGAAATTATCGTCGCATTAGCAACAAGTGCCAAAACCTGCATTTTGCCTCGGTTTACGGCCACAACTTTTTTACTATTAGTCGGATCTTCTTAAGTTTGATCTCATTTTGTAGATTTCATAAATACCTAAAAATCTTATTAAAAGAGAGATTGAATCCCTAAAAACAGGTTTTCTCATTCTTTGGTGTCGAATTAAAAGTTTTCCCACAAAAATTGGTGTACCCATTTTATGGATCCATCCATGTTTTAAATACCCCCTTGAACAACTTGCATTAATAAACCCAGACTTTACAATTATTTCGCAAACCAGGGGTATTTTCATCTAATATGATTAGACTATTGAGCATTATTGTTTGGCTGTGTTACTGTTGCACTTGACAACACCGTACACCACAAAACGGAGACATTCTTATAGTCAAAATTTTCATGTCCACAAATACTAATTGTTACTTGAAGCGCTAAAATAATTCTCGCAAAGTACACTTTAAAGGTTATATACACTGCTCATCTGTCAAGTCTGGACATTAGCTATTGGTTCAAACTATACTGATATATAATTTCATGTTTCGTTTCTGCATTCATTGGAATATCCTACCTGCAATAGCTAATCTTATACTATATTCAGAATCCCGGCATCCAAAAAATCATCCGAGATGAAATGAGATACTATGACGCCATCTATGAGAATTTGTCACGGTCATGTTACTCCTCTCTGCAATAATTATAAATCTACTTTGAAAAGGTGGATGTCACATAAATTTCAGAGAGGAGAAACAGCTCCATAGATGACCCTACAATTCATCTCGAAGAATGTTTCGGACGCTGAAATAGAGCGTTACGTTAGGTATCTTCAATTTATAATCATCAAATAAAATTCAAAGCTGTGACTAAAAACGAGGCAAAAATTATTCAAAAAATGTTTCTTGTGTTATCTGTTAAAATTGAATGAGAACCATTGCTCCTAAAATTTGCCCGCTAAAAAACTTAAAAACCATAATCTTAAAGCTTCAAAATGCATATTTTAATGTCTAGATACTACCATTTTCACCGAAATATAGCCTCTGAAAAATAACCGCAAAATTTTTATATTAATCTCTTAATTTTTTTGAATAGTGTGTACATTGTAAAATTTTCAATTGTATTTTTTTTCACCCAACATTTGACGTGTGTAAACAAATTTTGTAAAAGACCAATAAACTGCTATCAAATAACACACAGCAATATGACGTAACAAAAAATTGCAAACGTTCGAGGTCCAATCAGTGATGATTGGGAAAACTTTTTTCATACTCTAACGAAAAAATCAAATTGCAGGGAAATTGGCGGCTCAGTAGCGAAGGACCATACCAGTTTTACACATCTTGTGATGCCATACTTGGCACGATCGAACAAACTGTTCTTTGCTATCGCTAAGGAAGCACATATAGTTTCTGAACAGTGGCTGAGAGACTCGTATGAGGCTAAAAAGTTCTTGCCAGAGGAAAATTATACCTTGAGTGCAAAGGAATTCAATATGATGTACAAATGTGATTTTGATCAGACATTGCAGACCCGAAATAGATGCAAACTGTTGGAGGGAAAGTTCTTTTGGGTCACGCCTAGCGTTATTCCCAGCAAAAAGGTATCTAAAAAAATATACTTTATAAACCAGAATTTTTCTATGACCTTATTAGGAATCAGTGCCTACCTAGGTGTAACGCGTTTCCTTTGATATTTTGGAAGAGTATATTTTTAGAGGCTTATACATGTATCTGTGATCTAAACGAAAACTCATTTTCTGTGTGAATAAATGGAATAAAATCAACCTATATTTCTAATTATAAGTAAATACAGCTCGATTAGGTCTATGATTCTCCTTTAGATCTGCATTTTCTTTTTTAAATAAGGGCCTGTTTAGTGCAACTTATAGTTGGTGCTGCAAAATACCATGTCAAAACTCAAATGTCGGTTTGATTATTGGACACTCTGGAGGTTGTAAGCATCTTAAGCATCTAATTTTTTTACCTCAAGGCATCGTACTGATTATATTTGTTATTCCAGGTTGTCACTGAGCTAATCCAAAGTTGTGGTGGTATAGTGGAAAGGCTAAGACGTAGTTCAGCTCAGATTGAAGCAACGAGTATTAATTCTCCATTCAGCTATTTCATAATCACACATGAAAACGATCTGCATTTGGTAGCAGATCTACTAAAGAATAAAAAAGATAAAATGCAAATCGTCTGTAACGTTGAACTGATATTCAGTGCAATGTTGAAGCAAACGTTTGAGGTGGAACCGTATGCTGTATGCGTTTTATGATCAACTAGATCTAAATCTTTCGACTGAATATTTTGATTGATTGAGATAGGTTTCGTTATACGAAGCAATTATCATAACTTTCAAAACTCTGATCTCACTACTGACTTGACCGACACTTTTTTTATCCAATTATGAGAAAGAGACATGTAAGACAAAATTGTCACTCAAATCGCGCGCCCATTTAAATCGCGCACTAGGAACCCATTTATGCTCGTGACAGTTAGACAGTGTAAGTTCGACAATGCTTGACATACGGCTATCTCTTTTTGACGTCATTGTCGACCGTTGTTGAGTGACATCGTCGCGTGTCACTAATCATGTCCACAAAAGCGCGCTTAACGATGTCCGATAAAGGGGCTAGAAAGATAAAGGTATACCCCATTCGTAGTCCATTTACGCCCAGACAAAACACAACATGCCCAAAAGCGAGATTCTACAGGTCCATATTTTCCTCAATGGTCTTGGAATAATATAAGATAAATGATTATTTTTATAGAAAGAAGTGCACATACTTTTCACAATTCCTTATTCACTGGAAGTAATTGAATCATCGTCCGAATGGTTAATATTAATTATTACAGGTTCAATTTGAATATCGATCATATTGTCCAGATCCCACATCTTTGTTTCGATTGTCTCCTGACGCAATATTTCCAACGATTTGCCGTCACTCTGTTGAAAGCTTCATAAAACAAATTTTTTACGTCAGAAAATTTCAATGTTCTCCATTGTTTGAAGCCCCATAGTTTTTTATATTTGCCCAAATCATTTCAATGGGATTTAAGTCGCAGTGATAAAGGGGTAGCCTTAAAACGATCTTATTGCCATATTGTCAGTAACATTAAGATTATATTTGTGCTACCTGACTAGATGAGCAAGTTCTGCTTTGACCATATTTTCATTTCTTGTGGACATTGTGGGAATTTTTTCTCGTTTTCTAGTGTGGTATGCAGCATTATTAAGTACAATGACGGCATTGTCGTCAAGTTTTGGGAGCGTTTCTTCAAGCCATCGTTCAAATGAACTCGCGTCCATTCCTTAATGGTAGTCACTCGTTTTCTTTCAAATAGAGCAGTGGGCACAAAGCCATCTTCACTGCCCATGTGACAGATAACAAATCGTTGTCATTTTTCATATTATAGCATTCAAGAAAATTAATAATAATACAAGCAGGTTATCTAACAGGTGTTGGTTCCAAATCTACCAGAAATAGTTAAGTTTAGTGGGCTCATAGATTCAGTCTACTTGACACCATTTTTACAACACACCTGACGGATTCTTTAGGCCAGTGGTTAGTCCATCTAAGAAGGCTTGTCTTGCTGATTTATTCATAGAGTCAGCCCATCCTTTAGGTTTTATATGTCCTGCATTTATCCAGGTTTCATCCAAGTAATAAGTCTTCCTGCCCTGGTCGCGGTATTTCTTTATTGATTTTAAATAATTTCTTCTCAATAAAATAATCTCTTGGCTGTCCATCAAAATACTATTTCTGCCCCGTTTCCTATATTCAAAATGAAGTACTTTGAGTAAACTATAGAATGTGGTCCTTTTGAAAGTAGGTAAGTCTTTATCACTATTATCCTCCTGTAATAGGGTCAATGTGGGTAATTGGAAACAATATTTGATATTTCACTACATCTTAGCATTTGAAATTTTATAAAAAATCTACCATGTCATATTATAATAAAATAAAAGTTGTTGGCTACTATATGATAAATCTATAGTAGAATGTCTTAGAACTGGTGATCAAATGACACACACAAAAAAGTTAATCTAAGTTTCCATTTACCCCAGAAAATTTGAGAAAAAAGTGAAAAAGGGGGTAAAAGGAAACAAGGATCTTCACACCTATTAGAGATAACATAAAACAGACAGGAGTAATAGTTTTAATATTGTATTAGGTTTTATCACTGAACATACCAATCTTTCCAATCACCCCCTGAATAAAATAAAAACTAGATAATCTTGAAAATTCTATTATTAAACTGGAACGTCGTGACTATTTTGTGCACAACCGCCGTCGAGTGGTCCGTGGGACCGCAAAATAAAAAAATATATTTTCGGTGTTTTAAGAAAGACTATTTTCTTGGAATATACATTTATTTTTAACTTTTATAGCATACAGTTTTGTGTATATTAATTTACCAACCTTATTTATTGTAGTTATAAATGAGTAAAGAACATTAAAACTGAAAATTATTTATCATATTAAGAAATACTACACCCTAAAGAACTATTTTGCACAAATATAAGCTCTATAACATCCAAAAGAAAAAAACGTGCAGAGCAAAAAATAACAGAATTTACTGTAATCTACAAATTACTTTATAAGAACACCTAATCTTTACTAACACAGCACAACATATAGGGTTTTTCTTTTCCTCTTTGAGGGACAGATGTGGCACGTTTTTCTTTCGTTCCTGGCCAACTTGTCGACACCATGGTCTTCTTGTGGCGGAACATCTTGATTTCCCTAAGCTCGTGCAATTGAAGATCTCAGTTCATATGGTAGTCTTCCGTTTTGCAACCTTTCGTTCATGTATGGTTGAACTAATTGTTTAGCTAAGACTTTTAGAAATTCCAACCTGGTGTAAGATTTTTTAATGTTTCTATGGGATTGATGAATAATATATGCATTCAGGAAGCTCATATCTAGTATTCTGTAAAAGATGACCATGGGCCAGCGTCTGCAGCGGCGACTAGTTGAATAAACAGTACATTTTTGGTCGACTGAGTCCACTCCTCCTTTTGTGTTATTGTAGTACATCACAATCTCTAGTTTTTTAGTACTTTCGTCAATTTCTCTTGCATGGTGCATTGATGACAGCAAAATGACGGACTAATTTTTTTTCGGAACATAAGATACCATTGTAAAGTTTTTTGTAAACCCAAATAAACAGGAGTCAACTGGCCTTGCAGATGGTAAGAACTCTGGCGGAATTTCCTTTTTTTTTAATTGTCCCAACAAGAGTAAGTTTGTTTGTGTTCAATACGTTCGCAAGCTCCAATGACGTATACCAGTTATCAGTCGTTACGTTTCTGTTGCTGCCAAAGATGGGTTTGCACAATCGAATAACGGCTTGTGTAGGAATATTAAACTTTTTGTCTTCTTCAGATAGGTACATACCATCACTTCCTTTACCATAGTATAAATAGGTATTATAAACATAACAGGTTCGTGCATCAGCTAGACATTGTATTTTTAGACCATATTTTGATGGTTTGGATGGCATATACATTTTAAAGCCGCAACGTCCTCGAAAAGCTACTAGCATTTCATCGATTGTAGTGTTTACTCCAAGAGTATATGCAGCCTGCGAATTTCTGTTAAAACTATCCAGCAATTCGGATATAGCAGCTATTGGATCAACTTGTTTACGTTCGTTTCGATCTTCGGCATTATCGAATCGTAGACAGGTCAATAATATTGAAAAGCGTCTTTCTGACATTGCTAACCTAAAGATTTCTCGACCCATCCCGTCTGTGGCGAAAATTGAAGAAATATCCTCATGGTTGGATTTGAATACCACCGTATAACAGAGAAGGCCCAAGAAGCATTTTAGTTCAGTAATTGTTAATTCTCGTAGCTCAGTGCGACGGGGATTGGAATATTTGGCTCTTATTTGCATCAGCTTTTGATTTGTCCATGTTAGAACGCACTGCAACATGTTCTCGTTGAAAATATAGTTCCAAGCAAAAACTGGATCAAACACTTCATTTTCATTTTGCGGAACACGAATTCCAGGTAATTTTAAAATATGTGCTTGAGTTCGGATATTTCGTTTTGGTTCGGTATAAGACCATTTAAAACGGTTTTTACCATAATAATAATTTGGGTTTTCGTTATCCGATGAGTCGTTGTCACTCACTTGTACTGATTGATTATTGGATGGATCAAACTCTTCATTCGGTTCTAGATCTAATTCGGAATCGGTATCATGTTCACTGTCTTCAACGTAATCTTCATCTTGGTCGGACATTTCCACATCTGAGTCTAGTGATTCCAGCATGCGCATGACCTTGGCTTCGAAATCGGGGTCAGCAAAGTTTACACTGTCGGGAACGCGTCCAGAAGCCATTTTTATTAACCTTCATAAACCCGTGGTCAGAAATTTACGTTAAATACCGAGTGGGGTGCAAATGTACCCCAACGTTTTTCTGGCTTATTTAATTACTGTAATTAAAGATTTTCAAAAAATAAACACATTCTGATTATAAAAAATATATATTTTTACATAAGTATGCTATAACATTGATAAACAAACACATTTGGAAAAAATAATTTGAAATGATTATAATATAAAGAAAGATAATTAAGAAGAAGATAAATATGTGATATTTTAAATAATAATTTAATTATCACACTTATTACAAACGGTTATATTTTTAGAATGTTCTGCACATACGTACTGATTACACCGAATACAAAACTTTCGAGATTTCCTGTCTTTACTTCTGTCGCATAAAAAACATCGCTGCTGTCTCCGAATAGCGGGAGCAGGTGGTTCATTCCTTACAATATTTAATTCTGGCAAAATTGTTAATATGGATTGTTTTATATTGGAATGTAACGACTTGTCATTATGGTATCTACGAATTATATTCTTCTTAATTAATTCTTGGCCCAACTCCAACAGAAACATTCTTCTCCTATCTAAACGATTTTTTTTCCAATCTGGATTTTTCAACATCCATAGTTTATAGGCGTTGATGCCACCAATATCCAGCAGATGAGAAATATTACCATCGGCCATCGATTACTTTTTCTTTGAGTGGTAAATTCCTTTGCCAATTTATCTGTTGTATCTACTGCACCCTTAGTTTTGTTGTAGTGTAAAATGATGTCCGGTTTATAGTCACATTCCTCTCCACTTATTCTGTCATCGTTATGTTCTGTTGATAAAAGGATAACTGCCGCATTTTTGTTTGGTACGTAAGAAACTAATGTTTTATTTTCCATAAAAGCAAACATGTTTGAAAAATCTTTCTTGTATTTTGCTGGAAGTAGTTCTTTTGGAATATAAGGTTTATTTTTTACGCAGTGTTCCACACAAGGTAATGTTTTTATCTAAGAGCTTATTGGCCAACTCAATACTGGTAAAAAAGTTATCAGTAGTTATCCCATATCCTGTAGATAAATGGTTTACCAGGTCTAACACTACCCTTTGACCTTGACCTTTCTCTGGTTTGTTTCCTTCTTTGCCTAAAATTTTAAAATCTATAATATCTGCATGTTCTAGGACATAGCTTACCTAAATAAATTTGCATATTCACTGTATACGCCAAACTACAATCAGCCAAGGCCCAAATTTTTAATCCATATTTGTCCGGCTTACTCTTCATGTAAACCCGAAAAGGAGCCCTGCCTCGGAACGGAACTAACTGCTCATCCACGCACAAGTGTTCAGATGGATTTAAAGATTTATTGCAATTAGATACAAAAACATCAAAGACATCTCTGATTGCGGCAAATTTATCAGTGCGTTTTCTTTCTTCTCTTGTTTCAAAATTGTCGAATCTTAGAAAGCACATAATTTGTTGGAATCTGTTGCGAGACATAGTAGATGATACCAAAGGTCGACATAAAGTTGGGTCTTGGCTCCATAATACGCATATTGGCTCTTTAGCAGCATGCCAGGCTCCAAAAATAATAAGCAAACCAATAAATGCTTCCAGTTCCTCTTGCACAAAAGGAGAAAAAGCCTTCCCATTTCTTGCATAATATGATTCGGCTTTTCTATTCGTCTCCGATAAAATCACATTCATAATATCTTGTGAAAAAAATAGTTCAAAGGATTCTTTTATGCTGGAAAATTGGGAGCTATATCTCGTCAAACCTGTTGGACCAGTTTGTATATTACATTTTCTTCTCTTTGTCCTCGCAGTAAGTGGAACTTTTGCCCACACACTACCATCTTTAGAAGTATAAGTTGGATTTTCTGTATAAGTTATTGATTGCCAACTACAGCTGAAGAATCTGCCAAATCATTCTCACTATCACTAACTTGCAAAACATCATCTATCTCATTAGTTTCAGTCACTATATCAGTCTCTTCGATATCACTTGAACCATTTTCTAGTATCGAATCATTAAAATAATGGTCGTAAATATCCGTTTCTAATATCGCCAATAGTTCTTCGTCTGTTAGCTTATTTTCATTTCGAAATTTCGGTGGTTCACTCATTTTTATAAGCGCGTAGACGACAATCACCACAAACGTAACGACACACACGAAACCTAAGATTATAATGCGATAATTGCGTGGACACGTTATACATAGCCGCTATTGGGATTCCCCGACAGTGTTGCCGTCACGATACGAGGAATCTCCGTCGTTTGAAAAATTTGGGGTTTATTTATACCCCAGTTAGTATTCAGCGTATGCAAAATATTTACCTATAGTTACATACCGAGCGGGGTGCAGCTGCACCCCAAGGAACAAAACTCACTATAACTTGTTACAATAAATCACAAATTGTTTAAAATTTTTTATACTATATTAGAAACATATTTGAGAAACATAACTCAAAGGAAATTAAATTAAAAAAAATATCTTAGAAAATAACACCAAAAATTGATATCTGGGGTGCAACTGCACCCCGCTCGGGTTTATAAAGGTTAACAATACAAAAATGTTGTACACACCCAGACACTCTACACTTAAGCCGCTGTGAGGTACCATGGACCGCTTTCATTTATTACGAAAAAACTAACGCTCAAATAAACACGACTACACTACTCTAGCGCTGCTGTTGTACTAATAGGAAGGTATTAAGACGGATACGCGTGAATGACAGATAGTAGTGTGGAAAAATTAGGAACGAATATCGCCAGCGGTCACAGGTACCTACGACGTCGGTTAAAGGTTAACATAATAGATATTAACAACTTATATCTATTGTCGTTCAAAAATATCCAGTTTATTAGGGAACTTGTAGAACATTCTTTCACCTTTCATGAAAAATACTTGGCTCAGGTGTTATGCCAATAATTTGTTCGAATTTGACAAAACTGACGTCAGTTTGTTTTATGGAAAATTGTTTGCAGGTACTATCCATACATATCAGAGCTACAATTTTAATTTCATCCTCATCCCAATCGATATCTTCAATCACACAGAGATATCTGTAAGATGTTGTCATCCTCTTACCACCTTTAAATTCCACCAACACAAATTTACCTTGCTGGAGTTTGTGCCTTTCTGCAGCTTCTAGTTCATGTAACTCTACTTCTTCTTGTTCATCCCACGGGCTGTCATCACTCTCAGCATATTGTACTTCTGTTTCACTTGCATCTGATGCTGATGATGACTTTTTACGTTTTTTGATATTTTTCCAAGATTTTCTAAATTAGTATCGATCGACTTATTATTCCGAACTTTATTTCTTGTTCTTTCATTCTATATAAAACTTCGTTAGCAGTTAATACTTCGTAGGCCATCTGTTTTAGCCGAGGTACAACTTTTTTTCTGCGGGAACAACTTCTGCAACTATCTCTGGCTCAAGTTTTTTTTTTATTCTTTCTGTTTCCAAATGAAATATACGGTCCAGTGCTTCTTTAGATGGGGAAATTAAAGAAGACTTGTTTATCTCTGCCATTGATATGGCAGATTCAGCTACATCTGTTTGTTGTACTTTACTTTTAGATGATGATGGTCCGGCTTCATTCATGGATGATTCAATAATATCTTCACTAGCATTTTACTGAACCTCATCAAAAGTATTTTCCGCAGAAGCTCTGGAAGAAAGTATCTTTTGTTTATAAAAATGAAGCTGCTCTGGGTTAAACTCAGATTCAGGAAATTTCAGTCTATTTACAGGATACACACCTGTAGTCTCAAAACCAGATATGATATTTTGTGAAAGCATAGCCTCCTGTCAAGTTTCACTTAGAAGGTCCACAAATTTGTCCTTAGATAGACGTCCAGTGCCTTACCCCATTCTCTTCTTACCGTAGGCTACCTACTTTCGATCCCATGTATATTTAACTGACTTAAAAACACACTTATCTAGGGGTTGTAATTTGACCGTAAGATGACTATGAAACTTAATGAGGTCTTGTGTGGTGGACACATTTTTTTATATTATTTAACGATGTTGAAAATCGTCTTAGGACATAAGCCTGTTTTGTTTTCCTTGCGTCTTTCAATACCATGAATTGTCATTTCAGGATGATCTGAAATTTCGCTCTCATAAACGTTAAGGACAATTTTTTTTTGATAGAATATTCAAATGTCCCTTCTTGTCACGTTTTCTGGAAGGAGACATCACTGAAGAGGAAGCATGGCTAAATGAAGCATTGGGAGAAATAGTCTCAGTTTAATCTGTTGTGTCCGTAGACGACATGCTAACGTATAAACACACGCTATATATGCACCAAATATGAACAGCAACTGCCGGCTACGGCGTGCCGGCGATACCTCGAACCTGAGTGCTATCTTGTCGAATCCTGCACTTGTTCGTAGTTTTATGACCGAATGACCAATAGCTATTGCAACGCTTAGGCGGCTGCCGCTTTGACGGACTGCATCTTTGTTGTGCGTAAATGCACTACGAATAGGGTATAGAAGGCTTTTTCACGGTACATCATTACGTTTTGACGTCCATTGATGTGGTGAACATCTAATCCTGAAGACACATCTCTGTTAAAGTCTGTATTGTTGACATACATGAATGGGGTAAAACCAATGAACTGTCAACACTGATGGAACAGGCGTAACGCGAATTCATTGCGGCTATAATGAGAAACGAGAAGGATAGCGCTAGTCAGGGCAAAACATTGGCAAAACATCGTGGTCCATTGTGGTATTTCCATATATGTTCTAAAGATTTTTGGTGAATGTTTGTTTTTAGTGACGTTAAAGATTAATAGTGATAGTTTGCGACAATTATTATAAACATTTTTATGCCGGACAGCCTTCAACAGCTGTTGTTTTATGTGATATTTGTTTAGAAATGGTTGAATCTTGCAGTGCGGTGAATTGTTGCAATAGACGCAGAAAAGATGTGAAGTTTCACAGGTTGGTTTTAATCATCTCATTTATTTTTGTGTGAGAATTACCTGTTAATTGGTAATTCGAGGAAATATCTTGATTTTTAGGATACCTAGAGATCCTAACATGAGGAAGTTGTGGTTACATGCTATAAGAAGAGAACACTTTACTCCCAGTACAACAACGGTAATTTGTGAAAAGCATTTCACTCCAGAGGATTATGAAGTTAGTGTTCATGGAAATAAGGTACTAAAAAAGGTGGCAGTTCCATTTGTGTTTGATTTTCCAGCCCATCTCAAGAAAGAACCTAGCCATCGAAGGGTTTTGAAAAGAAAACATGAAGAATCCAACTCAAAAGCAACAGGTATGTTCTTTAAAATATTCCCAGTCTAAGCTTAAGGTTTTAACTTCTCTACTTTTAAAAAAGATATTTACAATGATGAAGTGGGTCTTAGGCCCGTATCGTCAGTCGTCCCTACAATTGTAGGGCGCCTTTATGGCCTCCTTGATTGTCATAGTTTTCTACTTCTCCGTGTCAGCGCTCTATTTTGAGGTTATGTCACAAACATCTATTTGCATCAAATTGTGCTTGCTTTTGAGTTATAACATGTTTTATCAGCCTGAAATTTCCTACAATTTAAAAAAGTTATCTTCACAATAGGAGAGCGCTGACGCTGACACGGGACGGGTGCAATCTAGAAATGTTTGAAGGAGAGAAAGGAGTATGACAATCAAGGAGGCCATAAACGCGACTGACGATACGGGCCTTAGTAACGTAATTATTTTTAGAACAAACTTTGGATATTGGTGAAGTAGTAGAAGAACCTGAAAATGGCGATCATGCTGATGATGGAAATATATTGGCAGCTGGTCCGTCAAACGTAACACAAACTAGGATTTTTAGAATCAAGTGAACCTTCAAACATATGCAATTTAAGGTAATTGTCATTGAACTTTGTGTTTCTCATTTGTTACAACCTCTTTTTGTTTGTAGGGTCAGAAGATCACCAGTATACTTTGGGGATTTCAAAATTTCTGATTTAAATAATGTGCAGCGTCGGAAGAGATTTTGCTGCTCATGAAACTGTTCATAAGTACAAAAAAATTAACAAGTACAGTCAGTGTAAAATTCGTAGACAAAGAAATAAAATAAAAAGTCTGAATAGTCTGGTAGATGAACTACTTAAAGAGAAGAGAATATCTGCAGCTCAGTCATGTGTAAAGGAGAATGTATTGTCAAGTTTCATACATATGTATATATAAATAAATAAACTTGGTTTTTTAATTATAATTACGTTTCCAGGATTTTATCTCGTTCCAGTTGCCTGAATAACTTTTAAATCTTCTCTAAGAATCCTCGGTTTCCTATGCAATTCATTCTAGTCCGCGCGCTTTTTGCCCTGACTAGCTCCATCTCTCTCTCGGACCTCTTTGTCGTATCGTTTCATTGTACAAATGGGACGGGGCGATTCCATCAGTGTTGACAGTTCATTGGGTAAAACTCACGTGAAATTCAGGGTCGTATTGAGAAAGTAGAGGCGGTTAAAATATTCCAGCTTATTGTTTTATTCCTACATGACTTGAAATATAGCAGTGATGATAAACAGCCTTATTTCGTTTTGTTTTCCTTTTTTTATGCAGTAACTTTTATATAAAAAAAGCGTTGTTGCAAAGTATGGATTCGTAGCGTACAAATAAACAACAAAATACGGCACGGGTATTAGTATCTTGAAAAGTGGCATTTTGTAAGCTTTTTGTGGCATAACGTTGGTTGGTTTGTCTACAAGATGTTAACTTGGCACTAACTGTTGTACACTTGTGGTGAACAGTACTATGTTACCTAAACGTCATGATGCTTCAGCTTTGAATATTTGGCTCTGATGTGATGTAACATCTGCTTCAGAGATGGCATTACTAGAGGTCTGAGCTGTAAGTTGTATATTATAGCTGGAAGGAAATGGCAGTTCGTAGGTGCATAGTCGGGATTTTTGTGCTGATCTGAGTTGCTGATAATTCCATTGGTTTCTTGTCTCAAATACAATTATGTACTTAGAAATTACATATGCAAATTTGTTGAATTTTAAATTGAGAGAGATAAGAAAAGAAAATCCCTGGCTGATGACGTAACAGGTGAAAAAATATGCTACAGACGTGAATAACGTCTCTCCAGAAAGGACAACATATAAATAACCCATCGGACACAGCTTCATTGGCAGCATATTCTATAATAATTTTCTCACATAGCAAATATCGCTTATTTTATATACATGCAGACCAATACACATAATACATAATCATCCAGATGCAATCTTGCTACTCAACCGACTTTCTTTCTGTCACATCTTCTTAGAGAAAAAACACTACAACAACAAGCAACAAATGATGAATGTCCTACGCTTTTGACGACGCTCACAGCTATCATAGCGAGCAAACGTGGAATGAACTATTTGCACACTGAGAACTACCTAGTCTGCAAGATGACATTTTTTACATAATACCCTGGCCTTGGCAGATCCCTCATAAGTGTATACCACTTGTAGATATGGGATATTTTGAATGTCACTAGATAGTCAGCTGTTATTTGCTGTCACATGTGACGTGAAAAATAATCTATAAGCAATTTTAAGTGATCTATCAACCGTAACCGGTCGTCTCTGGTTTTCACTTCTTCATTTTAAGCGACGCGGCTTGCAACAGCTGTCAAATGATGACGTCACGAACTGGTCTTTTTTGGCGTTTCTGTTACTGATAGTTAAGCCCAATAACAACCTTGCACATGTGCTGGTTTCTATGCGGTTCTGAATGTATAACTCTTTTATTCTTTGTGACTCATAATTTTCCGTAAAGGTTATCAGTGAAAGAAAACTGTATCAGATGACAATAGGCGTAGAACTAATGAATTATTATGGAGTCATGCATTGTTTTTTTTTGCAGAATTTAAAAAATAATTTGGTGCATTTTTAATATCACAGTAAAGTATTTACTGATATTTGTATTATGTTTGTAATCGTCTTTTCTGTGACAGATGGGCAACGATAATAAAGGGCATAACCGCAGTTCATCATGGTTCATCGCTTAAAATTGCTTTATGTTGAACATCGCTGAGTGATACTGTCACACAATTTGCTTGCATAAATGAGCGTTTATGCTACTAGGAATTTTGAATCTGTATAAAAAATACATAATCTTTCATCTGCAACTCACAGTCACACGTTTTGTTGGTATTTCGCTTGTAAATATTTCAGTATTACCCACATGTCGAGTTCTTAGTGAGGGGTCCTTCGATAACTCTATTATGCATTGTATCTAAAAAGTTGAATAGAAATACTGTAGCCAACAGTATGCTCCTGACTTAACAAATATTTTTATTTCTATGGGGTGATTAATAAATGTGTGATGACCCAAACATGCATTTCTTAAATGGAAAGTCTCTATATAGGGTTTCATTTCTGAATTGTTGAGATATTGGGCAATCCAACGAATGTTAAATCATAATGCTTCAATGAAAGGGCCTATTCAAATCTGCAATAAAATGTGGGCCTTTCTATTTAAAAATGGATGTCAAGCTCACCACATAGCTATCAATTACCTTGTAGAGATAGACATATTTTACGCGTAACGAGCATGCTGTTGACCACGTTTTTATAATTAACTTTTCGTTGGCATACGTAATAACAAAGTTGCCAACTGAGCCCACACTGTATATCAGTAAATACATAACTTTTGATTTAAGCATGAACTATTTGAATTACATAGATACATCAAAATGAATATAGCTATTTAAGATTCTAATATGCTATATTTATAAATTATTGTATAAAATTAGTGTTATCATTTACTTGTAATTTTTATGACCATTTTTGCTCTCATTGAATTAAGTCTGGAGTCAGGTCATCTCTACGGATAGTATTGGAGAAAGACTCTGTTTTAATAATGGAGAATGATTTTTGTACATATAATTGTTAGCCATTGGTCTAAATCTATGAAAATATTTTTTCATTAGCAAACCTTTTCTTTTCTTATATATTTTCTTCATAGCATATATTTATATTAGATATATTCATGTATACCAGAACCTAGATCTATATGCGCACTTTTAAACCTTTGTAAAATGACTAGATGTTCTTGTGATTTGAAATAGTTGGGTATAATTATCCTACTTCAATGGGCCTGATTATATATACATTTTTTATATGAAGTCAACATGGAAATATAAGCTTACTTCATTTTTATTGTTATTGATGTAAAATATTAACCAATTTATTTTTGTTTCGATATTATTGCCTTTGTTATTGAAGGTTTAGATTGAATAATTTTTACCAATCAATTATTTTGCGATATGTTACGGTAATTTTGGAAGTACTTTCTGTTGAAAGATATAATATTTGTAAAATAAATGTTTCTTTTTATATGTGCTATTGTTATTTTTGAAAAGATCTCATAAAATCCTATTACCAGGTCATAAAGTCTGCTTTATGCACAGGTTTTTCGGGCGTTCCACTTTTTTACCAACGGGAGTATATTTACGCCCTAGCGCCCGCTATTTATAAATGACCGATTGTCGTCGACACAACTGTTCGTAATTATTTGTCACTAGGCAATGGCTGCAACTACCGACACCTAGAGGTGTATTTTACTGCGTACAAATCATTTATTTTATGACCACTTATAGGATGCGTAAATTTTGAACTTGCCCTATGAATCACGCACGTAAACCAACCCTGGCTTTTAAAATAGAGAATCGATACTGCGCTACATATGGAAATCCGCGTCAGAAAATGTTCGCTCATACGACACCATTAGACGCAGAGTATCTCAGTACGCCGACTGATACGGTTTTCTTTCGTGTATTTTAAAAGGGAGCGTTAGTTAAACGTGGGTCTAAAGCGCGTCATCTGAGTTTTGATATCACGTGCACGCAATACATAGCCAATCGGAGATAAACATTTTTAGTATCGATCTCGGGCGTAATAATCGATTATACATGCACCAGGCCTTGAGCACTCACCTTCAGCCTAGATACACAAATAGGTATTAGATCTCAAGTTTTTTGATGGTATCCATTGCAAATGATGCTGGCGGAAATTAAATTTAGATAAAATTCTTGTACCCTCAATTTTTCATCACTGTGCTTTGGAGAAAATTACGTGTAAAAATTTACACTTGATGAGTAAACAAATCTTTATTAGTTTTTAAATTGTAAAATAATATCATATAAATAATTGTATGTGGTACTACTTCATAACAATAATAAATATAATAACTGAATACTTAGGAATGTAAGTAATTATGATATTGTAATAGCAGTTCGTCTCACAACAGCACTTAACAACTCATTTGTATCAGGTTGCTCAGTAAGAATTTTCACTTTCACCCATTGTCTGGTTTTTGATGAATGTCTTATTGCACTAAGTACTGCCTGGACATACAAGCCATCCTCAAAATTTGCTGCAGATGATACTGGTTCTTTATTCCAGCCACTCTGTTTATGGTTAGGTAAGAATGCTTCTCTTAGACCTGAAAACAATTTTTTTTGTGAATAACAACGAAAATTTTGCATAGGTACAAACTACAAAATTCTATAAATTATTACTCACATTAGTACGATGAAGCATATACAGTGGGGTTCAAATTTGGCTGACGTCGTAATGGGTACGAGAGAGAAGCGCCCAATATGTATGTCAGAAAGAGAGGGATGATGGCGTCCATGACATTGTCACTCGGGTTACTAGACAACTAGGTGATTCTATCTCTTTCTAACACACGAATTGCGCGCTTCTCTCTCGTACAGATTACGACGGCAGTGGTATTTGGTTTTCAGTGTATATATGGGTACCTTAACACGTTCACTGCCACATTTTTTCGGTTGGTTTTACCCAGGAGCCAATTAGTTGTATAATGGTTAATTTGTTATTTTGGTAGCATAACTTCGTAAAATCAGTTATTGAGGTATTTTCGTAAAATGTTTTTTAATTAGAAGATTTTTTGTGGCTCTTCTAAGAGTCGACGGCACTGACTTACAAATCGGTTTCCTGTGTGCCAGCTGGCGCTTATAAGAGTAGGAAGATAATTATTTGTTTTTTTATAATAGAAATAAACTAAAAGCAAACTAAAAACATTTATTATCGACCGTTAACAAAAATAAAATATTAAAAATAATTTTTGTAACTCAAAATAGTAGAGAACATATAAAAGTATAACAAAAACTTTTCCGGTAAATAATACACCTAATGTGATAAGATCTAATCAAAAATAAGAAATGAAACAAATTTTTTTTTTAGAATATAAACATGAATTTTTGGTGAATGCAGACGATTTTTAGTGCAAAAAATTATTTGTGAATAATGTCACTGCACTCCAAGCAGAATCCTGGAACATCAGGGCATGTTCTACATTCATTGTTTGGGTATGGATTCCCTTCTTGCTACAAGACTGGCATCTTTTTCTGGATACTTGTTTTTTACCATCTAAATCACGTTTTACTAATTTGTGCTCTTGTGTGCCTGCAGTATTGTACCTTGTCAGCGGCACCGGCGAACATCTCGCGTTGACTCTTATAAAAGCCAGTGGCAGCGAAAGTGTTAAGCCAAACAATTTACCTACCATTTAAAATCCTACTGACAACTAAATTTAGAAACAACATAACTTGAACATTAAACCCTACAAATCTGGAACCCATCATTTTCAGTGAATTAGACAAAATATAAGAGCACAACAGACTACAGTGAGTATAAAATATCAAATCCTCACAAGTAAGCTTGTATGAAGTGTCTAATTTCTCAATACAGGTGAGAGGCCTATGTTCAATTATATCTTACCAGATACCATTTTACAGACTCCTTTGATAAAAATCTTGGGCAAAGTGCTGTTAGGTACAGGACATTGCAAGTCTTCAACATCAAGATATATCACCTCTTCATTTCCTTTATTTCTCCTACCAAATAGGTCACCACCTCTCACCACAAGGTGCCCAGAACTGCTACATATCATCACTTCTTGGTGAAAAGTACTACCTAAGTTAACAAAAATCATTATGTTAATTCTACACATTCATATTAATCTACTGATAGGATATCGAAAAAATATTTTTATGCCGAAGCAGGTGTGCAGACACAAGCCTAAATACCAGGGCACGAGATGTGTTCGTGATACGTTTTATCAGCTGTATTATCATTATTATTATTGAGCTTCAGGGTAACTTACCTCCTGTATGACTATTCAATGTAGCAGTTACTAGAATTCCATTCTGCAATTCCATCTGAAAGGTACAAAAGTCTGGTGCAGATATGCTTCTGATTCCATTTATGCCTTCTGTGTTTTTAGTGAAAGTCCTTATTAGTCCATGGACTTTAATTGCCTTCTGTCCAGTTAGAAATGTTATGAGGTCAATAACATGACTGCCAATCAAGTTCAATGTGCCTCCACCCATGCTGTCATCACATCTCCAATCAAAAGTATGAGCTTCTGAGAAAAGGCAACCACTTTGTATGCGGATATCTATTAATGTTATTGGTGAGCCTAAATAGTTTTCTTTGAGTGCTTTTTTCATATGTACAAATGCAGGCAAAAATCTAAATGAATGGTTGATGAGAGATATAAGAGATGGATAGTACTGGCCAGCTCTGACCATTTTCAAAGCATCTGCTTGCGTTAGTCCAGCTGGTTTATCACAAACTACGTGTTTACCAATTCCTAAGGCTTTGACGGAGATCTGTGCGTGTAAGATTGGTGGGCAAAGTACAAAAATTAAGTCTACATCTTTCTTTAATAAAACGTCGTCTATCTTGTTAGTAACAAACGGTATTTTGAGTTCTTTAGCAAGTTCCTCTGCATCTTGAATAGTTTGACTCCATATTGCTTCGATTCGAAACCCATTCTCTCGAAGAATGGGTACTAATACTCTCACAATTGGAGATGTCCCAAAAACCCCTATACCTGGTAACATTTATTATGAATTTTTAGATAAAGCCTTTCTGTAAAGAGTATAGACAGTTGTTTTGATTAGGAATTAGGAGTAAACAATGGTTGAGGTTAGGATGACATCGACAGCAGTGTTGCCAAACCGAAAAAACCGAAATCGGTAGATAGTGTCATTCTTAAATCGTTGCCGTCGCACAATGCACGATCACCAGCGGATCAAGGCAAGGGCCTTTGCGCCACGCAGCGCCGTCTAAGAAAAAAAACATTTTTCTGTATTGCGCGTGCACATAACATAGGTTTTTGAGAGCGTCTTTTCTTCACAAAGGATTAACCAACTCTTTTATTATACTGCATATACTGATTGCTCTTCAAAGTCCTTTGCAACCATCTTGGAAACTCATTTTTCCATTTTGATCAATGAGATGTGTATATCTTGTTGTTTTATTCCTGAACTTGAAACCTCATTATTTGATATTATGATTTAATATTAAAAACAGACGAGCTTTGGTTTCCTTATTACTTGCCCCGTGATAAGATAATGAGGGTAATCTACCAGTCTGTACCTCTTGTAGGCACAAAAACCAATACATACAGGGAATGCTGAGTAAGTGATGTGCGTGCATCCCTCGACTGCCTAAGTATACGCACTATGGGCCATAAAATTACATAGACTACGACATACAACTCATTTTTTCAACTTTATTTCTGGCTCTAGATCTTTTTACTAAAAAATCTGGAAAGATCTAAATGATCTTAAAAAACCGTAGAAAATGACGTTTCCCGTAAAAATACAGAAAAATCGGTAAGTCCGGCAACGCTGACTGACAGTATTTGTTCTGTGCCTCAACGCACAGAACAAAAGGAAGGGGATGATTTTTCTAAAATTGATATGGATCTGACCAATGAACAAAAGAATGGTTCATCATCTGACTGGCAAACCCTGCCTTTTTTTTTTCACACGGCATAAACGAAACAGAATTTGCGAACTGTTATAACCTAACTTCTATTCGCGCAGATATGGGATATATTTTCAAAATATATTTCGCTCACCCTTAGTAATGGCAAATTTGCAAAAATCGCACCAAGGAATAAAAGACATACTTTCAAAACTAGACGAAGATGATGTTATTGCTTTAGCAAGTACAGTCACACAGGGGTTATTGAAGGTTGCTTCAGTTGATGGTAAAATAAAATAAAACTAGCATCATACAAATTCAATTTTCAATAACTTTTAGAGGCAGTCAATGGAATACTTAAGCATTCACCTACATTAGTTAGTATCTTGAGAAGAAAGATAGTTACAAAAGAAATACTGTTTCAATATCTTGATGAGAACAATGTATCATTCAAGAGCCCAGCCAGTAAAAACGATCTTATAGATAGGATAATCGAATATTGGAACGAGTCGCTATCTCAAACAGTTCTTGATGAGCCAGTTTCCTCAGATGTCAAAGAAACTTCACCAGGTGAAAGTGAACAAGTGATAAGTCAATTGGCAGATCAGTTTGCGAAGTGGTTTTACACTATGTTAAACTCTGATGAAGGAGTTGGTACTGAACATTTTTATGCTGATGCTAAACTGAAAATAGCTATAGTGACTGATGAAGGTTGTGATCTGAAAGAAGTTGAAGATAATCCAGAAGATATATGCAGTGCTTTACGAACGTTAAAGTTACAACACCAGTTATACTTCAATCCAAATTTCACAAATGAAGGTATACAGGGAAGAATAGATCCACATGGATTAGTGATGGTGTTCACATGTGGAACCCTACATGTGAAAGATGCAATCGTAGGAGTGTTTGAACAAGTGTTTTCATTAGCCAGAGACCCATTCTGTGACAATAACTGGAAGATTAAAAAAACAGAACTTAACTTACGAAGTAAGAATAGCACTATAGGGCAACCACAAATATGTGATAGTGAAACATCAGATATGCTAGCCATTGCTCCAACCACTAGGTAACCATTGTAATGTAGGTACTATAAGAAAAGTCTGTGAATTTATTTTGTATTTTAATGTTCCCACAATACAAATTAAAAAGGAATGTTGAGCAATGCATCAATTTGGCTAAATATATATCACCCTTCAGTATGCATATCACAATCATAACAAATATAACAAAAAAAAAAAAACAATAACATTAACAAAAACAACTTAATATAAAAGAACAACAATATCCATTTGAAAATTATAAATAATTTCACCTACCCATGAAACAACAATTGAGGTGCTAAAACCTTCAACATATTACAAGTTCTATTAGACCCTCACATTTAACAAATAAAAAATAACTGCACAACAATAACAGAAAAACTATGTATATATGTTGTATGTAAATATAAACAATTTAAAGGATAGTTTTTTGTGAAAGTTTGCATAAGAGTCCTCAAATAAATATTAAAGGCTGTCCAATAAGGATGGAGCACTGTTGGTTGAATAAAGCAACCTATTTGTGACTTTAAATTTTCCAATTGACAGGTAAGAACCTAGAACCTTTGTCCAGTCTTCAAATTAGGGGACAAAGCCCTAGTTATTAATTATTGGAAAATCTGTATCTTCAGCACTTTTGCTAAGCTTTTGGATGTCCTTTTATATAATCACAACTATCTGTTTACACATACGCACATTTCTGAAGACCAGCATGGGTTTAAGAATATGAGATAATATATATTATAGTGACCAAATCTTTTCTGTCATATAATAATAATACATTTTTATTTCAAAATAACAGTACATCATTACACTGTTAGGTGAAATATATGTCACAGCTAACATATACTGATTTGCATTAACAATTCATGAATACTCTTTATTTTGAATTATTTTATATCCAACAACCTTTTATTTTCTTGAGGGAACTTATTTTATATTTTGGTATGGCTGTAATGGATATTTTTTTCGGTAACCGTGACATGATGAGATACAGAAGATTTATATTTCTGTTTTGTTTTATAATTACTTCGCGGGTTAACAATAAAGTTGTCAATGTTTTTAAATGTAAAAATTAGTATCAATTGAATGTATATTATGGCTACAGTTAAACATTTTATTACACTTGAATGTTCCTCTGCAAGTCTCTCTAGAGGAATTTTTTAGGATGCACCTTCTGCACTAGAAAGATCCCTTCTATTTTTAGATCTAGGTACTTAGTACTCTAATCTTAAGGTGTGCATTGTTTAATCTTTTTTCTAGATGTTCTGAATGTTTAGCGCCGGAAAGTGCTTGGTCAATATAAACTCCTAAGAATTTCCTACAGATCTACAGTACCCAACTTGACAATATTTTCCCAGTTAGCGTCTAATAGGTACATTATATAATCAAGGTCATCTAGGTGTCATATATTCAGACAGATACAGAAACTTGTACCGCTTTGGCTTTATTAATCAGTCCATAAAACTATTCTCGTCTTAACTTACTGATCGTCGCTTGTAGGTAACTTATAATAGATACAAGTCTCAGCAGTATTTGGCCACTTCAGGGGTGCCCGAAGGGTCATACTTATTGAGTCGTTTCGTGTTTTTGCTATTTATCAGTGCTCCCCATTATGAACTTAAAATGTAACATGTGGTACTTATGGACGACTTAAAAGTATTTTGTCAAATTAAAATTTTCAGAGATGGTGCAGTATGAATAGGCTCCAATTAAATGTCAGTAAATGCAACATTGTATTCTATACACATAAGCAGAATATATAAGTATATTTCAAGTGGTGTAAGTCTTGAACGATATGACACTTTTTGCGACATGAGATTAACATTTGTTTTGATCATCACATATCTCAAACAATTACTGATGCCAGCATGTCTTTTGGATTTCTAGTTAGAAATTGTAATAAGCTTATGTTTGATATTCGATACCCTGAAAGCTTTATACTTTTTTAAAACTTGAAATACATCAATAGTTCAGAGTCCTTACTACCAATGCTAAATAAACAGGACTGATTATGTCCAGAAAACGTTTTTAAAGTACCTAGTCTTTAAAGTTGATGGATTTTATCCAGAGAGTGGTTGTGACTTCGCAGTTGTAATGAATATATTTGGGTTAGCCTCACTGAAAAACCGACGTGAACATAGTATAATTAGCTTCTGAACAACTTAATAGATTCGTCTGAACTGTTATTCCAAATATACTTTTATGTTCCTAGACTTGGTTCTCGGCAGGATCAGCTTTTGTTTTGTATGCGTGTAATTAGGAACCTGCTATTAATGTCACCACATAGAGCTATGCGCTCAAATTATAATCACATTTTTTATTTGTGCGATATATTTAATTGTACTTTTAGAAATATTAAAAGTATCCTTAGTGAGCTTTGCTATTTGTTAATTTTATATACTAATATGGTGTTGTCTTGTAATTCTCACACATAGCTTATTTTATTTCACCGTCAATCCGTCCTTTTGAAGACTCTTTACTGAGAATGACATCAAGCTGTCACTAAAAACTGTATAACAAAACGTTATCTAGTTTTGTAGGTACCTTTCCCCAAAAACAACGATCATAAAAACTACCCCCTGAATTGTTTGACGAAGATTTTGCGCAATTATTTGCCGAGCATATGAAGAAAATAAATGCCTTAAGATACTTCACTAGGAACTGTAGCAGGTATACCTCCAGCAGTTAGCCCTTCAAGATCCAACTGCTGCTTCCTGTGGTGGTACATATGCACCCGCAAACAACTTTGGTTTCTCATAGTCTTTCCGCATATTTGACAGTCTAAATCAGTAACTTTGGTTTCATGTTTGTCCCTTACATGTACCTTTAAATTGTACCTGTTCACAAACTTGCGGTAGCAGTACGGGCAGAACACGTGAGTTTTGATGTCGGCACAGTTTTGAAGAGAATCTGAAAATGTATAAGGTAAGAATAATACAGTTAGAAGGAAGGTTGACTGGTTTTACCTTTAGGTACATGAACAACCCAAACACCAATGCGATTTTTAATTAACCATGATGCTGAATATTGAGATGATATGTTGTTAGTAGGGACATACGTTGATCGATCCATGCTCACTATCCTTTGCGCCTCCCTGGTCTGTGGATAAAATATAGCAAACCCATTATACCAATATTACTTGCAGGATACTCAAATGCCTCCATGGTAACGTGACTGACTTAATGCCAACAACACACTTCACCATTATCAAAGGTATTTATTTGGATGAGACACCCAAACTTAAGCCAATAATCCTGAAGTACTGCAATTTACAGCAAATTGCGTGCAAATCTAATTTGACGCCCATTTC